TCTTACACGTTTTCAATTCTAAGTATGTATAATGTAAGAAGATGCTAGCCAAATTGAGTAAAATTCTGGTTCTGAAAGAGCTGTTCCTGTCAGATGTGAATCCACGTATCTCACCGTTGTTAATTTACTATTTTTATTTTACCTTGTTTCTGGAGATTGATTCAAAACTGACCACAAACCTGGGAAACAGGAGACTTAAGCTCTGTCTTAATCCAGATCGTCTCTGAACCTAGAGATGAAGGAGTGGCACTCCAGAGGAGAGGATGACACCCAATATCCTGACCACTCCATCCCACTAGGCTGTCACCCTGCGCCGGCCCTGTCAACTGCCCTAGGAAGAACAGAAAAGGAATCTGGCATTCAAGATGCTGCAAGCAAGTCAGAAAGTGATAGATTTTGCTTATGTGCCACCCAGAGATTTCTGTCAATGGGAATTCAAAGCTTTAGGAACCTTGAGGGGCAGGCATATAGTGGAAAATGCATTGCTCATACTCAAAGAGGGCTGCTTTGCCCACAGCCCTTCAGAACTTCCAGAGTAGCTGTTACGGTTAACTCAGAAGAGGAAGGCAAGCTCCCATCTCAGTGTGCTCCTCCCTCTGAATGCTCCCCAGTGTACAAGCCTACCTGCTCTTCAAATGAAGCTGTCCTCAACCTTCCTGCATCTCACAGTAAGAAGCCAGAAGAGGCCGGGTGCAGTGACTCACCCCTGTAGTCCCAGCACTTTGGGAGGCTGAGGGGGGCGGATCATCTGAGGTCGGTTCAAGACCAACCTGGCCAATATGGTGAAAGCCCGTCTCTGCTAAAAAAAAAAACAAAAAAAAAAAACAAAAAAATTAGCTGGGCGTGGTGGCAGGTGTCTGTAATCCCAGCTACTCAGGAGGCTGGGGCAGGATAATTGCTTGAACCTGGGAGATGGAGGTTGCAGTGGGCTGAGATCGCGCCATTGCACTCGTCTGGGCAACAAGAGCAAAACTCCGTCTCAAAAAAAAAAAAAACAACAGCAGTAGCCAGAAGAAACAATCTCCTTCAAGACCCTGATCCAGTGTCCCTCTTCCTTCTCAGAGGAAAGCTGAACCCCAGCCTTTTTTCCTCAGCCCCTAGTTGGAGCCTCTGGCTCCTGAGTTGGCTCTGTGTTAACACTGCCTTTTGTCTTACGCCCCACTTCAGATTCTAGTGTTGAGTCAAGGTTAAATGTTTTCCACTTCCCAAAATATGTCCAAATTTTGAAGCCTATAATCCACCCCTGGCTGGGCGTGGTGGCCACACCGCATCCAGCAGTTTCAGAGGCCAAGGTGGAAGAATCACCTGAGGTCAAGAGTTTGAGACCAGCTTGGCTAACATAGTGAAACACCGTTATCTACTAAAAGTACAAAAAAAAAAAAAAAAAAAAAAAATAGCTGGGCATGGTGGCAGACACCTGTAATCCCAGCTGCTCAGGAGGCTGAGGCAGAGGTTCCAGTGAGCCAAGATCCACCCCTTAGAAAAACCTGGGCCCACTGTTACCTTTAACTCTGAATCTCAGTTCTAGCTATTCTACGGGGAAGCAGACCAAGCTCATCCCCGCAACACACACCTGCTTCCCACTCCAGAACAGCATGCCTCTGCCTGGGCCTTTTGAAGCCAGGCCACACCCTGTGTCCTCTCACCTTCAAAAAGAGCTCTCAGCAGAACACCAGCCTCCTCACACTTGCCAAGGCAAAGTCACAGTTGCAGCACAGCAGGAATGGGATGGCCCTGGCAACCTATTTGCTGCTGCAGCTAAGGGAAGGGGTCTCCAGAAGCTCCTACACACCGAGGCCATGCCTGTTGTGCTCGTTTTGAGACACAATGCAGCTCTTTTCAGTCATCCCACCACCACCTCCCTACCCCCAGCTCCTATCCAACAGGAAGCAAGGAAGAAAAGGCAGTCAACTGCCACGAGCGGCAGAATCAAGGACCCAGAAGGCAGACCCAGTTGAATGAGACAGTGCTGTTTTCTTCCCAGCTGCCTTCATCATAGAACTGCAGGGAAGATTTCCAAATCCCACCCCCATCAATCAGCCTACTTAGCCTATAGCCTATCTCTAGCTGCCTGAAGGGCCAGCCTGCTTGTTAGCTGCCCTGGTGGGCCAGCCTGCTTGTGTACTGCAGGAGAGTCCACTATTCCTGCATGCCCCACTTCCCATAGCATCCCAAGGAAGAGGGGCCAAGGCTGGGGCCAGCCACAGCTTCCAGGAAGGGTTCCAAATAAAGCAGGCCTGAACTCTGACTCCCGAGGAAGTCTGCTTTGTTCTTTCAGGGATCACAGAGCAGCATCTAGTGGCCCTTCTGGGCAGCACAGATTACATAACTAGCACACAGCAGGGGACCAGAGCCTCTGCTCCCAACGCCAGTAGTCTCATTAACACACAAGAAAGTCCTGGCACCATGAAGGCTGGAGCCCAGAAGGGAGGTGAGGGAGCCGGGCCCACGCCAGCCCCGGGGCCAGCCCACCCCTTCCAGCTGTGCCTGGACTCAGCTCATGAGAGGCCTGGGAGAGGAAGCAGTGGCACAAATGCTGGTCCTGGAGGTCTAAAGCTGGCGCTGTCCAAGAGACAGATAATGTGAGGCACAGATACAAGCCACATAGGTAACTTTGTATTTTCTAGCAGCCGTATTACACAAGTAAAAGGGAAACAAATGAATTTTAATAACATATTTTATTTAACTCAATACCCAAAATATTTCAACACATATATAAAAAAGTTATTGACATATTTTACACTCCTTTTCTTTTGTTATCATACTAAGCCTTCAAAGTCTGGTTTGTGTTTACACTTGCAGGGTATCGCAGCTCGGACCAGCCATATTGCAAGGGCCTGACAGCTGTAAGTGGCTAGCGGCTACATATTGGACAGCACAGATCTAAAGGGCATCATCTGACCAAGACCCACAAAGGGAACCAAGAAAAGGGCTGCTATCCTGAGCTCCTCAGGACTGCCCTAAGTCTGGGAAACCATCTCCCCTCTGCTCCAGATCTAGATCTCTTTGGAGTACTTTTTAAAAGTCCTTTATAGAAGCAAAATTCTATCTGCAAGTGAAATACAGAAACACAATACTAAAACAGACAATGGCTGAACTGCTTAGACTATGGAGGATTTAGGAGGCCCCCCATTGGTCCCAGAGCCCCCCAGGGTGTGAGGCAATATGAAAATCGCTGCCTTTGACGATTCCAAAAGGAAACGAAATGAAACGACAACTGAATGTCAGGACTCTCCAGATATCTGCACATCTATTACTTTTTCAGCCTCACATCACAATCACCTGCCAAGGAAGCAGCATCCTCACTGAACAGAAGAGGAAGTAGGCTCAGGGGATCTACTGCCCAAACCTACATATGCTCATTGGACCACACTGCCCTGGAAAAACAGACACCTGAATTCATGTCCAACTTCAGAACTCTCACACCAACTTTCTTGCCCCAAAAGCCTCCAAATTTGGACCCCAAATTTAGCTTAAGTATTCCCGTTATACAAATGAGATAACAGCTTTGGCCAGACAAGAGCTAGACTACTGTGAGGCTGCACAGAGCTGTCTGGGCTTGCCCGGAAGCCCTCCAGCACTCAAGAAAAGACACCTTTTGAAAAAAAAATTATTTTTATTGGAACTCATCTGAACATCAGATATACCTGGTGTTGGTTAGCAAGAACCGTTTGTACATTTGATATTGATGGTGCCAAAACCAAACAGTGACTTGACATAATGGGGAGAGATGTTGAGAACAAAAACCTGATTTTGGAGAGGAAAATAAAAGCCAGTCAGATTCAGCGAGGATGCAAAACCTGGTACAACAAAATCCTTTTACAAAATATAAATTTATTACGAAAACCTGGAAGGATAATCCAAGGAAGGTAAAGAAAAAGAAAAGGAGGCCAGCAGGAAGGAGGCAGGAAGAGGGTAAGAGGAAAAGAGAAAAAACACAAACAGGAGATGACAGAAGAAAATACAGTTCAGCACAACAGAGGTGCAGAAGCTCACCTACCCAAATGGCATGAAAACCTCACGGTGTAATCTCATCAGAAAACAAAGCATGCTGACACACGGTGCTCTACTTCCCATCCACTCGAGTTCTAGGAGGTAAATAAAGAACCTCCCTGGGAAGGGGACATGAGGTTGCTCAAAAACCCAACAAAGAAAATTAAAAGAAAGAAAGAAAGAAAAAACCACACTCCACAGTCTCATTTCCAATGTTCACTGTTTAAAAAAGAAATAAATCCGTCTGAAAGCAGGAGAGGAGGAGTGGGAGAGGGAGAGAAGCTCATGGATTTCAGACAGCCTGACTCCTCTGGAGAGGAGAGGAGGAAGGCAGAGAGACGTGATGGTCTCCTGGTTGAGAGGGGAAAGAGAAGAGAGAGAGAGAGAGAGCAAAGAAGAGAGGAGAGGAGAGGAACACAGAGGAGAAGAGAGGGGCAAGTAAAACACTGACAACTCATCTAGTTTACTGTGTGAAAAAATAAAAAGCCACATGCACAGCAGGCCCCTTGGGGGCTAAGGGCCCACACTGCTCCCCGTGTGGCCGTGTTAGACACTAGCTCCTGGTCTCATCCCCATTCCTTCACAGGTCAGAGTGGAGCTGTGCAGGCGCTGCTGCTGCTGCTGTCGCTGCTGCAGTAGTAGTGGTGGTGGTGGTGATGGTGGTGGTGGTGGTAGTGGTGGTGGTGGCGGCGGCGGCGGCGGCGGCAGGACCTTCAGCTACTCTGCTGGAGCCAATGTGGGGGAGGGAAGGGTGGACAGGCCGTATGGCAGGGAAAAGAACACCAAAACACCTCATTTCAAATAAAAAAGAAAATAGCAGTCTATACACAGTTTGTTTTGGTTCAGTACAAACAGAATAAAAAGTCATTGCTTTTGATGGTCAGCAAACACCCAATTCTGAGGAGGAGGAGAGGTGACGCCCAGCAGGTGGATTAGGAGCCCCCAGTGGTTGGCAGGGTGCCTGGCTTTGTGGCCCTCTCCCAGGAGGCAGAGAGCACAGCTTTAGGTAGTGTAAGCCTTTTTCCTTTTATTTAGAATAATCTTTTTTTTTTCTTTTTCTTTTTTTTTTAAGCAATTTCCCCACTCCCAAGTTGGGCCAGTAAAGATTACATGAAAACTGGCACACCTATTGGCTGGAGTACAGATGCACCAAATGAGGATTTAAAAACTTTCCGAGCGAAAAGTAGAACAAAAAGAAAAAAGAAATCTCCTAGCATTTTCCCCCAAGGTTTCACTCTCCCGCCACACACACTCTCCAAAGGACCGCTACAGATCCAACTCTGCAAGAGAAGACAGAGCAGTGTCAATCAGGAAGCCATGAGGACACCAGGAGGAGGTTTTCAGTCTCGACACGCAGAAGACAGAGCTGCCCAGCCCTCGGGTCCTGAAGCCGGCACTCACCTATGTCAGTTTCTTGGCTTTGTTGTAAAGGGAATCCACTACTTTACTCATGTTCTGAATTGTTTCCAGAGCAGCTTCATAAGTTTTATCTACTGGGGGTTCATCAAAAATAATCAGGACACCCTCCCCCTGGTCCAAAATCCCTGCAAGAAACACAAGGGCAACCCAGGTAAAAGATGAGGTTAGACACAAAAGCATTTGTGAAGCAGCCCAATCCCTACTTGACTCACTTTCTCCAGAAAAGAAAAGCAACAGAATTCATCTCCCTATTCCATGTACACATGCTTATCACACATTCTCATCACAGGGAAGAGGGGCCAGGATCCAGGGTGAACCATCAGGGGAAACAAACAGAACATCTTTGAAAATAAACTTCTTCAACCATCTCATCACCACCACCACCAGCCCCCTTGCCTGTGTGACTGTTACTCACCATGAAATTTCTTGTCAAGAATCATCTGTGATAATTTCCTTTCCACATCGGCCTAAAATCAAAGCACATGATTAAAGGGACCAGTATCCCCTAGTCAGATATCACCTTGACACAAAAGCTTTGTTGGAGGGGTCTTAGGCCAAATGGACTGAAAATAAAATAGCAACAATGCAACTCCCACTCTAGCCCACACTGCCCATTCCCCACTGAGAAGCTGGGGAGCTTTCCAATGAGGCCAATCAGGTGCATGTGCCGTCCCTCCTCACCCCCCTTCCCATTCCTCCCCCCAGATGGCCTTAAGACTCCTTACCTTGGAAAGTTTGATGAGACTAGATATGTGTTCTATCTAAAAGGAAAGGCAAAGAGACACCAACACTGAAAGTTTTACTTTTGCCTCCAATAAGAAAAGGGAGGAAATAGGGGGAGGACTGCTATATTTCTCCAAATTCTAATGTTGTCTCTGTACAACACCACCCTCCATGGCTGTGCTTAAGTCTCCTGTGCTCTGCCCATCTGCCTGCCTTTCGCTGCTACACACAATAAAGATTCCCGTCCCACACCCAAATACAAAAAACATGTACCACACATACAGTGACTAGAAGTGAGGAGGAAACTGCTCAGGACATGTACAGGGGCAATCTCACATGCCTCTACCCACAGCATCTCTCTCCTCAATTCTTGTCCATTCTATCAACAGAGGCCGAAACTCCTGGTGGCTTCTTGACCACCAGGCACACCCCTAGAAGTGAGTTCCCATTCTGTACATGTGTGGAAGGGAGGTGACCAGGTGAGAATGCCTGGTCAGAAATGGAGTCCCCAGAGAGTTCTCACCTGTACTCTGGAAAAAGGCTCAATAACTCGGATCAGATTCTGTTCCAGTAAGTTATCATACAACTTGGCCAAGTGTGTGCTGATGATTGGGTCATCCCGGAGCTCTGCTCGGTAATCTGTCAGAGCCTGCCAAAAGAACCAGTCACAGAGATTGGCACAGAGAATCACTTGAAAGTCATGCTACTTCCTAACTTCCTAGGTAGTCTGGTGGCCCTTATAGCTACATGGTTGAATGAAGTTAGGGGACATGTGGGGAGATGCATGATAGAAAGCAGAAGAAAAGGAATGTCAAGAACTAAAAGGTAAACTTAGCATGGTAGTGTGCGCCTGGAGTCTAAGAATTCAAGTCCAGCCTGGGCAAAATAGAGAGCCTCCATCTCTAAAAATAATTAATTTTGTAAAATGCTATTTTATGATAGTCTTAAAAGAAAAAAAAATACAAAACAGAACTAAAAGGTGGAGTCATCCTAGGCACCATCTTTCTGTCTGCAAGCTTCAGGTCAACAGCTCAAACCATGTAAGCCCCAAGAGCAACTCAGTTCATGAACCAAATTAACTACACAAGCATTTCTCAGAATGTATTCTACAGAACAAATAGAGTCTCCATCCATTGCCGGGCAAAAAGATTATTGAAGTTTAAGAACACGAAATGCTGAATTCTACAACTAGCTCTTGGGAGTTCTATGAAGACCATCAGTATACTATAGCTCTGCAATTACTCAGCAAAATTAGGTGTTTTAATTATTATTAGCCCTAGTATTTTATTTAGCCCTAGGATTTCCCAAGTATCTAATCACAGAATCCTTCTTCCGTGGAACTACTTGGAATAAAAATGTTCCATCAAACACCCCAAACATTGGGATAAAATGATTTAGACCATTACTCATGTGTGTGATTTACAGACCATCAGTAATGGTCTCAACATCCCAGCCTCATTTCAGCTGTGCTACAAGGTGTTAAGGGAAGCAAGCAAATCATGCCAAGTAAGAGGCAACAACAGCTTTGACAAGAACCCTCCAGGAAAATGGTGAATCTTAAGGACAGTCAAAGCCACATGGATCTAGTCTCCATCCACACTAAGGTTTTCTTTCTGAATCTAGGTTTTGCTTTTTGTTTTTTTGAGATGGAGTCTCACTCTATCGCCCAGGCTGGAGTGCAATGGCATGATCGCAGCTCACTGCAATCTCTGCTTCCTGGGTTCAAGCAATCCTCCTGCCTCAGCCTCCTGAGTAGCTAGGATTACTAGTAGCTAGGTGCGCACCATCATGCCTAGCTAATTTTTGTATTTTTAGTAGAGATTGGGTTTCACCATGTTATTCAGGCTGGTCTCGAACTCCTGACCTTGTGATCTACCCGCCTCGGCCTCCCAAAGTGCTGGGATTCCAGGCATGAGCCATCACACTCGGCTGGTTTTGTTTTTATAAAGTTGGTCCTTAGACTAAGAGGAGAGAGGTTCAGAAAAGAATATACAATTCTCAACCTAATGCCCAGACAGGCTTTTCTCCAGGGTTAAAAAAAGCCTAGAACACCCTGAGGACGTTTCTTTGGGTCCAGGTACACACTCTTTTGTCCAGATGAGCAACAGACCTGGCATTTCTGGAGCTGAAGGAATACCTACAACTCTGCCATGTGAAACAAGCACTAGGCCTAGAGTCAAACTCTCACCCTATGCTGTGTGACTTTGGGTGTCCTGAATCCCAGTTCCCTTAACCACAAAATGCAGATATTAGATAGGTGTGTTGTGAAAAATCAAAGTGAAAAAAGGACAGAAAGAACTTTTGAAACAGAAAGTTATTAGGTATAAATAACATAATTTCTATCAACTCAACAAGTTGCATTGTACAAAAAAGTGCTTAACTATTTCCTGGTTTTAACACTGTCCTAGATGAAGCATACATGAATCACTTTGCAACTTCTTGTGAAACTATAATCATTTTTTAAAGTATGTTTTGAAGTACTTAAACATCCCTCTCTTCTACCCACATTCCCTAGGAACCCAGTATCATGCTCACCTTTTCAAAATCTGCCAGTGATCTGTTCTTGCTAGCCTGAGCCACGCATTTTAATGCTTCTGTCTGGGAATAAAGAGACAAATCATGAAAGTGATCTATGCTGCACACTAACATTCACCCAAGTCTCATAAGCAGTACTGTGTCAATACAACTTTTGCTATAAGGAAGAACCCACCCCATTGTCATTCTTCAGAGACCTGGGAAGAAGAGCTGGAAGTACTGAATACACTATATGCCTACCTGTTTCACTTTGAAACCTGAAATTACTTAAGAATACTAGGAAACAGAAGTTTTCCAAACAGACCGACCCTAATACAGCATTCTCTAGAGATGACAAGCTAAAAGGAAAAATGACAAGAGAACTGTGATTTCCTCTCCCTTCCCCTAAGACTCGTTATCACACCCAACCAAACTTCTTCCTGCCCTTAGGCCCTATTATATATGTGCTTTATCAAGACTCATTCTGCTAGGTTTGGTACAAGGCACTGAACAAGGTCCATCTCATTAAGGCTCAGGCATCAAGGCCAGGCACTGTGGCTCACGCCTGTAATCCTACCACTTTGGGAGACCGAAGTGAGTAGATCACCTGAGGTCAGGAGTCCAAGACCAGCCTGGCCAACATGGTGAAACCCCCCCTCTCTACTTAGTCGGGCTTGGTGGCAGGCACCTGTAATCCCAGCTACTTGGGAGGCTGAGGCAGGAGAACTGCTTGTACCCAGGAGGCAGAGGTTGCAGTGAGCCGAGATCGTGCGACCGCGCTCCAGCCTGAGTGACAGAAGGAGACTCTGTCTCAAAAAAAGAAAAGAAAAAAAAAGGTTGGGGTATCAAAATTGAGGGATTGGCCGGGCGCGGTGGCTCAAGCCTGTAATCCCAGCACTTTGGGAGGCCGAGGCGGGTGGATCACGAGGTCAAGAGATCGAGACCATCCTGGTCAACATGGTGAAACCCCATCTCTACTAAAAATACAAAAAATTAGCTGGGCACAGTGGCGCGTGCCTGTAATCCCAGCTACTCGGGAGGCTGAGGCAGGAGAATTGCCTGAACCCAGGAGGCGGAGGTTGCGGTGAGCCGAGATTGCACCATTGCACTCCAGCCTGGGTAATAAGAGCGAAACTCCGCCTCAAAAAAAAAAAAAAAAAAAAAATTGAGGGATTAACATATTACACCAGCCGGGCGCGGTGGCTCAAGCCTGTAATCCCAGCACTTTGGGAGGCCGAGGCGGGTGGATCACGAGGTCAATAGATCGAGACCATCCTGGTCAACATGGTGAAACCCCGTCTCTACTAAAAATACAAAAAACTAGCTGGGCATGGTGGCGTGTGCCTGTAATCCCAGCTACTCAGGAGGCTGAGGCAGGAGAATTGCCTGAGCCCAGGAGGCGGAGGTTGTGGTGAGCCGAGATCGCGCCATTGCACTCCAGCCTGGGTAACAAGAGCGAAACTCCGTCTCAAAAAAAAAAAAAAAAAAAAACATATTACACCAAGTGTTAAGACTCCACAGAGTGATGAAGTTATAATCAATAGTCGAGAACAACTTCTAACCTGGTTAGAAAAGGCACCTGACCAAGCCATCAAGTCTCCACTCAGCAAAAAATGTACAACATTCATCTTTCTGGAAGATCAGCCCAAATCCTGCTTAAAAACTAACATCAGGGTGGTAGAGTCTAAGAGAAGCTGCTCTTGTATCAGCCTATATACTTGAACAAAGACAGTGTGTCTTTTTTTTTTTTTTTCTGGTTCGTGTTCTCTGATGAGCTTGCAGGTGTATCTTATACAACAGACTAAAGGGTGCAAGGCATTAGGGTAGTTTGTCTCTAGCATTTGTCCTATAGACAGAAAAATGTGTCCAAATGAGAAAAACCTGGAACGTAGAGCCAATAACCCTAGTTCGAAGTCTAGCTCCACCACTGATTAGCTACCTGACCTTGTCTTGGACACTTAATGTCTCTGAGCCAGTCTCCTCAACTCTAGTTATAGTATGAGTACTGCATCTTTTTTTTTTTTTTTTTTTTTTTTTTTGAGACTGAATCTCACTCTGTTGCTCAGCTTAAGAGTGCAGTGGCACTATCTTGGATCACTGCAACCTCCACCTCCCAGTTTTAAATGATTCTCCTGCCTCAGCCTCCTGAGTAGCTGGGATTACAGGCACCCACTACCACACCCAGCTAATTTCTTTATTTTTAATCCAGACGGGGTTTTGCCATGTTGGCCAGGGTGCTCTCAAACTCCTGACCTCAAGTGATCCACCCACCTAAGCCTTGCAAAGTGCTAAGATTACAGGCATGAGCCACCATGCCTGGTCCCTAATTGGCTTTTTATCAGCAAAAGTTCAGGTCAGCTCCTGGTTTTGACCTCAAGAATACTGGTTATTACTATAGTGGAAAATGCATGGCCAGGTACGGTGGCTCACACCTACAATCCAAACCCAGCACCTTTGGAGGCTAAGGCGGGCAGATCACTTGAGGTCAAGAGTTTGAGACCAGCCTGGCCAACATGGCAAAACCCTCTATCTACTAAAAATACAAAAAATTAGCTGGGCGTGGTGGCGGATGCCTGTAATCGCAGCTACTCAGGAGGCTGAGGCAGGAGAATCACTTCTAACTGGGAGGAGGAAGTTGCAGCGAACTGAGATCACCACGCCACTGCACTCCAATCTGGATGAAAGAACAAGACTCCATCTTAAAAAAGAAAAAAAAGAAAAGAGTCAAGGCCACTTATAGAGAAGGAAGAAATCATCTGTGTGGCCATTCCTCCAGAGATATAGTGAGATTATATAGACAGCCAATTAATCTGTGTTTAGAGATAATGGCAGTTGAAATCCAGAAAGAATACTTTTACTTTACTAGTGATAAGCAAAATACAAAGAGGAGACAGTCCAGACATCCGAGACATCATCTTTGCATAGATCATAACTGTCTGCTCTCAGAAGTCATACTCAGCGCTACTTGGGCATTAAGGTAACACACAAAAAAGACCTCATTTCCACCACACCTAAAATTCAAAGCATGAGTTGAAAGGTACTGCTCTGAGAAGCACAAAAGTAAATCTCAAAACCTAGTTTCTGCACCAAGCAGTCAGACCTCCCTAAAGCACATATGCACCAGGCCTTACCAGGCTCCTGACCTGGAGAATCTAAGATTTCATACTCTGCATATGTTAAATTCACAAGTCAGACTCGTGGTAGATCAATCTTCTGGTGAAAGCCAAATGCAAACTAACTCACTGCAAATGCTACAGTTCAGTTCCCCAAGTCCCTCAAACCACCGGATGCCTGTAAGAGCACCCAAGAATTTAACCGTCTAGGAAACACACTGAATGGGCTTAAGGGAAGGAAGCGGGTGGGGGAGAAGGAAGAGAGCAGTATGAAGACCTGAAGAGCACTGTTTTCATGTTTTATAGCCATGTAAAAACATGCTGGTCTCAGAGTGAGCAGAACTGCAATCAAGGTAGTCCCTACCTGCCTCCCTGCATACCGAAGTGCAAGCTTCCCGCTCACCAAAGCCTGGACATCTTCTGGGCTAGAAAAAAAGATACACTTGGTCAATTGCTAGAGGATGTTATGCTTCTAAATGTATCTCTTTTTAATGGAATTCCATTGTAATAAAGACACTGCCCACACAGATAATCAACCCAACCCTAAACCCATATGCACATCACATTGCAAAGTAGGTTTTCTCCACTCTGGACCAAATCTCAGCGTGAAAAGCAGAAAAACTCCAATGTTGGCCAGGCTCAGTGGCTCATGCCTATAATCCCAGCACTTTGGGAGGCTGAGGCAGGCAGAACATGAGGTCAGGAGTTCGAGACCAGCCTGACCAACATGGTGAAACCCTGTCTCTACTAAAAATACAAAAATTAGCCAGGCGTGGTGTCTGCACCTGTAATCCCAGCTACTCAGAAGGCTGAGGCAGGAGAATTGCCTGAACCCGGGAGGCAGAGTTTGCAGTGAGCTGAGATCATATCACTGTACTCCAACCTGGGAGACAGAGTGAGACTCTGTCTCAAGAAAAAAAAAAAAAGAAAGAAAAACTCCAATGTTAGAAAACTGAACTAAACCTACCAAAAGCAGAACTATAAGTTTAAGTCAAATCCCAGTGTAATAGGTTTTATTAAAACATAGCCCCGGGCCGGGCGCGGTGGCTCAAGCCTGTAATCCCAGCACTTTGGGAGGCCGAGGCAGGTGGATCACAAGGTCAAGAGATCAAGACCATCCTCGTCAACAGGGTGAAACCCTGTCTCTACTAAAAATACAAAAAGTTAGCTGGGCATGGTGGTGCATGCCTGTAATCCCAGCTACTCAGGAGGCTGAGACAGGAGAATTGCCTGAACCCAGGAGGCGGAGGTTGTGGTGAGCCGAGATCGTGCCATTGCACTCCAGCCTGGGTAACAAGAGCGAAACTCTGTCTCCAAAAAAAAAAAAAAACAACAAAACAAAAAAACAAAAAAATAAACAAACAAAAAAAACATAGCCCCTATGTAATCCAAAGATCAAAAAAAAGAGTTCTTAGTTAATACTTCATTTATTCCCCAAAAAACTGAATAATTCTATAGACTTCTTTATTAAAAGGTCTGTCATACTTTTGTTGTCCACTTTTTTTTTCTATTATTTTTACTTCTTTTTTTCCTTTTGAAAATTTTCTTTTTTTTTTTTTTTTTTTTTGAGACTGAGTTTCACTCTTCTTACCCAGGCTGGAGTGCAATGGCGTGATCTCGGCTCACCGCAACCTCCGCCTCCTGGGTTCAGGCAATTCTCCGGCCTCAGCCTCCTGAGTAGCTGGGATTACAGGCACGCACCACCATGCCCAGCTAATTTTTTGTATTTTTAGTAGAGACGGGGGTTTCACTATGTTGACCAGGATGGTCTCAATCTCTTGACCTTGTGATCCACCCGCCTCGGCCTCCCAAAGTGCTGGGATTACAGGCTTGAGCCACCGCGCCCGGCCAAAAATTTTCTTTTTTCTTTTTTAAGACGGGGTCTCACCACGTTGGTCTGGCTGGTCTTGAACTCCCGACCTCAGGTGATCCACCCGCCTTGGCCTCCAAAGTGCCTGGATTACAGGCGTGAGCCACCACGCCCGGCCCCTATTGTCCACTTTTTCAAACCTCTCCTTAACCTTTCCTTCCTCATTCTGGGTGGCTCAGTTGACTGGTACTGGCCGATCTATAAGCTATTTCCTGACCCTCTGTTCTGTGCTGTACACCTATGAGGACAGAATATTTAAACAATGAGCAGAATTCTCCAAGAGGAGCTGGGAAGATTTCTAAAATGTATTCCTGATTCTGAAAGACTAGCAAGTGAAAAGTTTTCTGGAACACCTTTGATGCTCCTGTTCTACCTGAGCCAGCCCTAGAGGCTGCAGCTGCTGCTGTTTCTGTAACTGGCCACACTCCCTGCTCAGGCCATCTCTGCCATGACAGACAGACTTGTTGAAGGATCTGAGTTCTTGTATTCCAGAGTTAAGGTGCACCTACGTGTTGAGCATGATTTTGCACAGCAACATGTACTTCAGAGATGTGATGGCCTTGGGGCTGTCAATGGAATCATAACCCTCAAATGCCTCATAGAAGTACGAGTACGCAGTTTTCCAGTCCTTCTCTTCTGCTGCATGGATAATACCTGGGCATTGAAAAGAAAGGATTAAGAACCATATAAAACAACAGAGCCATAAAAGATCAGAGCTGGGAGGCACCTTAGAAATCTCCCTGGTGGGGCACAGTGGTTCACACCTGTAATCCCAGCACTTTGGGAGGCTGAGACGGGAGGATCACATGAGCCCAAGAATTCAAAACGAGCCTGAGTAACATAGTAAGACCCCATCTCTTTAAAAAAAAAAAAAAGCCAGGTGCAGTGGCTCATTCCTGTAATCCCAACACTTTTGAGAGGCCAAGGCAAGAGGATAACTTGAGCCCAGAGCCGGGCGTGGTGGCTCACGCCTGTAATCCCAGCACTTCGGGAGGCCGAGGCGGGTGGATCAAGAGGTCAAGAGATCGAGACCATCCTGGTCAACACGGTGAAACCTCGTCTCTACTAAAAATACAAAAATTAGCTGGGCATGTTGGCACATGCCTATAGTCCCAGCTACTCAGGAGGCTGAGGCAGGAGAATTGCTTGAACCCAGGAGGCGGAGGTTGAGGTGAGCTGAGATCGCACCATTGCACTCTAGCCTGGGCAACAAGAGCGAAACTCCATCTCAAAAAAAAGAAAGAAAGAAAAAGAAAAAGAAAAACTTGAGTTTGAGCCTAAGTAACATAGACCTTGTCTCTTTTTTTCTTTTTTTGACACAGAGTCTCGCTCTGGAGTGCGGTGGCATGATAGCTCCCGCAACCTTCACCTCCTGGATTCAAGCAATTTTCCTGCCTCAGCCTCCTGAGTAGCTGACATTATGGGCACCCAACACTACACTCAGCTGATTTTTTGTATTTTTAGTAGAGACAAGTTTCACCACGTTTGCCAGGCTAGTTATGAACTCCTGACCTCATGTGATCTGCTCCTCTCAGCCTCCCAAAGTGCCAGGATTTCAGGAGTGAGTTACCATGCCCGTCCAGCCTTGTCTGTTTAAAAAAAAAAAAAAAAAAAAAATGGCCGGGCTCGGTGGCTCACACCAGTAATCCCAGCTCTTTGGGAGGCTGAGGCGGGTGGATAACCTGAGGTCAGAAGTTCAAGACCAGCCTGACCAATATGGTGAAACCTCATCTTTAAAAAAAAAAAAAAAAATGGCCGGGCACAGTGGCTCACGCCTGTAATCCCAATACTTTGAGAGGCCAAGGCAGGAGGATCATCTGAGGTTAGGATTTCGAGACCAGCCTGGCCAACATGGTGAACATGGTAAAACCCCATGTCTATTAAAAATACAAAACCAGCCGGATGTGGTGGCGGGTACCTGTAATCCCAGCTACTCAGGAGGCTGAGGCAGAAGAATCACTTGAACCCGGGAGGTGGAGATTGCAGTGAGCTGAGATCACTGTACTACACTCCAAACTGGGTGACAGAGTGAGATTCGATCTCAAAAAAAAAAAAAAAAAAAAAAAAGGACCAGGCACAATGGCTCACGTTTGTAATCCCAGCACATTGGGAGGCCTAGGCAGCCAGAATACTTAAGGTCAGGAGTTCGAGACCAGCCTGGCCCACAGAGCAAAACCCCGTATCTACTAAAAATATAAAAATTAGCCGGGTTTGGTGGCACATGCCTGTAATCCCAGCTACTCAAGTGACTGAGGCAGGAGAATCGCATGAATCCGGGAGGTGGAGGTTGCAGTGGGTCAAGATCACATCACTACCCTCCAGCCTAGGCGACAGAATGACAGACATTGTCTCAAAAAAAAGAAAGAAAAAAGAAAAAAAGTCTACCCAACTCCATTAACTTACTGATGAGGTCAAGAAAGGATAAAGAACCTGCCCTGCCAGGCACAGTGGGTCAAATCTGTAATCTCAACACCTTGGGAGGCCAAGGCAGGCGGATCACCTGAAGCTAGGAGTTCAAGACCACAACCAGGGCAAAATGGTGAAACCCCATCTCTACAAAAAATTAGCCAGGCATGGTGGTGCATGTCTGTAGTCCCAGCTACTTACTTGTGAGGCTGAGGTAAGAGGGTCACCTGAGCCTGGGAGGTTGAGGCTACAGTGAGCTGTGATAGTGAAAATGCACTCCAGCATGGGTGAAAAAGTGAGGGCACCTCCAAAAAAGAGTAAAATGAAAGAACCTGCCCAAAGTTGTCATTGCCAGCTATGTGAGGGCTGAGATTAGAAGATGAGAATCCAGGTCTCTGACCTCCCAGCTCAATGTCATATTGCCATATTACCAAATATAAATTCCCAAAGGAATTAGAGACTTAAAAGGGACCTGAAAACACATACTGCACCATCTTTCTCCCATGCTTCTCACCACCATTCCAGTCCTGCTATCTTTTGGAGCCACAGGAAAAGGCTATGTTTACCCTTCATGACATCACATTCACAGGTCAGGGAGTTGGCTCAAATATCTCCAGACAGCCTGAATGACCTGTTTTAATAATACTAACTACTTTAAGATAGCTCTTCTAAGCTTGACAGTTGTATATTTATACAGCTCTCATGAGGGAATCCAACGTCTTACATTTTCCTTTCAAATATTTGTCATTTATGGATGTGCTTTCGCCTAAATGCACTCAAGTGTACAGCTCTCACATAATGCCAAATCCATGAACCTAACTACACATAGCTAAGCAGTACTTCTTCAGACTGATAAACCCTAGTTGTCCTAACCAATCCTCTACTGCTTAGAAGTTGAGTTGTTCCCAATGAGCTTAACTTTGATTGCACCTGCTATTACTGCCAACCTATGCTATCACTTGGGATAACATAAAAATTAGTTCTTTCTAAGCTTGGGAGGCATCTAAACCCTAAAATTCTGTATTTGTGTATATTAGCTCTAACTCTGCCCCAGCCCTTTAAGAAGTTATAGACCTCAGCCCCATTCGTTTACCACAAGTACTTCCCAACATCTTTCACATCAAGATACCTGTAGAAAGTATTTAGCATACTAGAGTCAAAGGCTGACACTGCTGACACATGATCCCAAGTACTCCATGTCAGCTGGAACCTCTGACTTCACCATCTATTGAGTGATACGTTCTTTCAGCCTACCCAAAAAACCTCCCACCTTAGGTCTACGGGAATCAGATCTTTTTCTACTACTGTTAAGTATAGAGGCCTCAAGGAATATCTCCTCTTTTCTGTAGCCAAGGAAAGCCCCTTCAACAACCCAGCAAACTATTAATGCTGCTAAACTAAATGAGACACATCTCCATTCTTCCACATTTCCCAGTATAGAGGGAGAACAGGCCGGACTCAAAAAATAAGTATGGAGAAAAAAAAAGATAAAATAAGGCCTAAGAACTGGTATACTGCTTTGCCAAACATATTTGTTAACAGGGGCCATATCAGCACTGAGTGTCATGGCGGGCATATGAAGTTTGTTGTTAAAAACAAAAACAGGCAGGCGCAGTGGCTCATGCCTGTAATCCCAGCACTTTGGGAGGCCAAGAAGGGCAGATCACCTGAGGTCAGAAATTCAAGACCAGCCTGGACAACATAGTGAAACCCTGTCTCTATTAAAATACAAAAATTAGCTGGGCATGATGGCAAGTGCCTGTAATCTGAGCTACTCAGGAGGCTCAAACAGGAGAACTGCTTAAACCGAGGAGATGGCGGTTGCAGTGAGCTGAGATTGCGCGACTGCACTCCAGCCTGGGCAGCTAAGCAAGACTCTGCCTCCAAAAAAAAAAAAAAAACAGAAAACAGAAACAAAAGCTGGGCATGGTGGCTCATGCCTATAATCCCAGCACTTTGAGAGGCCAAGGTGGGAAGACTGCTTGAGCCCAGACCAGTCTGGGTAACATGGCTAAACCCCATCCCTACAAACTATACAATATCCAAAAAGTTAGCTTGTCGTGCTCCTCTAGTCCCAGCTACTCAGGATACTGAGATGGGAGGATCACTTGAGCCTGGGAAGCTGAGGCTGTGGCAAGCTGTGACTGCACCACTGTGCTATGACCTGGGCAACAGAGTGAGACCCTGTCTCAAAAAAAAAGGCAAAAACTAAAACCAAAAACTAGACTCTCACTCATTCAACACAAACGTTAATGAGGGTCTATCATGTGCCAATTATTACCATTTTACAGATGAGCTAAATGTAAATTAAGTAACTTGCCCAAAATCATATACCTAGAAAGCAGCAGAACAAAACGTCAACCTAAGAAAGCCTGATCCTAGATCACTACATCCCTGACAAACAAGTTGAACAGGCATTATCTTTTACAGATGAGAGGTAACACGAGCACTTAAACTAGTCCTCCGCCTCCAATTCCAACATTCCTTCAATACTGATGCCTCCAGTAAAAAAACTAAATACAAAAGAAAGTATTCCACCTGCCAATTTCTGACTTCCTAGCCCCACATCACACACTCCATCAGAAACTACATACCATAGTTAGCTGAAACTGGGTTATCATTCCTCAGTCCTGATTTTAGGCCTTTGTCAAAGTCAACCAATTTTACAAAGATTTCCAAGAGTCAACAGACTTAGGGTAAGCCTAAATGAAAATGCTACTATTCTGAGTAAGGGGTTAAGAGGAAAGTTAAGGGAGCCTTCTAAATGCGACCTCTCTAGAGTTTGGTTCTAATAGTCAGATTGCCTGGTCAAGCAGTGATAGGTATGTTCTTAATACCTTTTAGGCAGTTAACAGGAGGGGAGCAGCTAGTTAGAACAGTAGCTTTCTAAATACTTCTCTGAAGAAGCTAGAGCCAAATCAGCCAGCTTTATTCTCCAGCTCCAACCCCCATTCCTTCTACCTATAAGGTAAGATGAGCTTTAAGAAAACACACCCCAGGAATAGCTACATCTGTTACCTGATTGCATGTCCAAGGTGGCCTGCAATTTAGGGGGGCAGTAGATGGCATTTGCTGTGGTTCGAGCAGAGGTTAAGGCAGCTCGGGCTTTCGGCAGGTTGCTCAGGGCATGGTACGTTTTGCTTTCTAAAAGCTGTACTTCCACCAAAAGGGCTTTGTCATCCATCTTTTTCAACTCCCGCAGCAGCTGAGAACCTGAAGAAGGAAAAGATATATTCTCCTTTACTGGCCATCAGCTTAATATCTAAACACTGTAACATCTCACGCCCCCACCCTCATAACATTCAGGATTAAAAAAAAAAATGCCTGAACTCCAAAAACATTACCTCTAGAATCCATGCAATAATTAAATTTTCCTCTAATATGCTATCTTACAAGAGAAAAACACATCTCTGAAGTTTTCTGCTTCCTAAGGACAATATTAGAGCCATGAGTCCTATGAGCTTACTCTTAAAATTTAAAAACACTGGGAATCCCTATCTATAAAATGCTAAATCTAGTTATCCAGTTCAGAAAGGCACTTGATCTCGCTCTCTTCTTCTCCAGCAATCACAAGGCTATGTAAGAACCCCAGTCACCCAGGTTGATGTAGGAAGTAGAGTTCTGGATATACCAATCTTCTCCAAATACACCTTCTTCCCTGATTCCCCCATCTCAAACTAGAATATCAAACTCAAACAGACTTACACCATATACATAAATTGACTCAAAATGGATCAAAGACCTAAATTTAAGAGTGAAACCTACAAAACCTCTAGAAGAAAACAGAAATCCCTGTAGCTTTGGATTTGGCAATGGTTTCTTAGACATAATGCCAAAAGCATAAGCAACAATAACAAAAAACAGGTAACAGAACTTCATCAAAATTAAAATGTACTTCAAAGGACACCATCAAAGTAAAAAAACAACCCAGAGAACAAAAGAAAAAAATTGCAAATCATGTATCTGGTAAGAGACTTGTATCCAGAATAAAAAACAAACCTAAATACCCATCAACAGCAGACTGGATAAAGAAAATTCGGTACACATACACCATAGAATACAATGCAGCCATAAAAAAGAACGAGATCATGTCCTCTGCAGGAACATGAATGGAGCTAGAGGCCATTATCCTTAGCAAACTAAAGCAGGAACAGGAAACCAAATACTGCATACTCTCACTTACAAGCGAGAGCTAAATGATGAGAATACATAAACACATAGAGGGGAACGCCACACACTAAGGCCTCTCAGAGGGTGGGAGGAGGGAGAGGATCAAGAAAAATAAGTAATGGGTACTAGGCTTAACACCTGGGTGACAAAATAATCTGAACAACAAACTCCATGACACAAGTTTACCTATATAACAAACCTGCACATGTACCCCTGAAGTGAAAATAAACTTAAAAAAAAAAAAGAGCAGCAGTGTGAAGAAGAAGAGGCGAGAGCGACCCCCGGACCGACCAAAGCCCACGCGCTGCTGCATCCCGCGCTCAGCGCCTACGTCCGCCACCATCGCCACCATGCCCAAGAGAAAGGCTGAAGGGGATGCTAAAGGAGATAAAGCCAAGGTGAAGGACGAACCACAGAGAAGATCCGCAAGGTTGTCTGCTAAACCTGCTCCTCCAAAGCCAGAGCCCAAGCCTAAAAAGGCCCCTGCAAAGAAGGGAGAGAAGGTACTGAAAGGGAAAAAGGGAAAAGCTGATGCTGGCAAGGAAGGAAATAACCCTGCAGAAAATGGAGAGGCCAAAACAGACCAGGCACAGAAAGCCAAAGGTGCTGGAGATGCCAAGTGAAGTGTGTGCATTTTTGATAACTGTGTACTTCTGGTGACTGTACAGTTTGAAATACTATTTTTTATCAAGTTTTATTAAAATGCAGAATTTTGTTTCACTTTTTTTTTTAAGCTATGTCGTTAGCACACAGAACACTTCATTGTTGTTTTGGGGGAAGGGGCATATGTCACTAATAGAATGTCTCCAAAGCTGGATTGATGTGGGGAAACGCCTTTCCCTTCTAGTTTTGAGAGACTTCCTCTTGGCTCCCAGGAGGAGGGATTCCCTGACTTTGACACACATGGCCACCTTGGCACACAAAAGCCTTGCGGTATGGAAACACAAATTCGCTTTTATGTCCTCTTCTCCCTCTCCGTCTTTCAGCATAGACTTAACTCCCTTAAGCTCAGGCATCTGTTGGGACCTGACCCCTAGTCATTGGTTACCAGTGTGTCAGGCAATCTGGACTTGCCAGTGATGCCACTGAGATGGCACCTGTCAAAAGAGCAGTGATTCCATTTCTAGATTGTGGATCTTCAGATAAATTCTGCCATTTTCATTTCACTTCCTGAAAGTCAGGGTCGGCTCGTGAAAAGTTGTTAACGTGCTAAATGTGAAATGTCAACCCTCACTCTAAACTTCCCTGTTCAGAGCATCAGATGACGACTTCATTGGGTTTTATAGTGGCTTTCTGATTTTTGGTGGTCCATCAAAGAAGGGAGTTTGAAAGTTGTTGTATGCTGTTAATGATTGTCTGCCCATGTCCTGCCTGAAATACCATGATTGTTTACGGAAAGTATCTTTAATAAAGCTGGATACAGTTTGGCTTGGAAAAAAAAAAAAAAAGAACTTCAGAATAAGAAGATAAAAACACGGGCCGGGCGCAGTGACTCAAGCCTGTAATCCCAGCACTTTGGGAGGCCGAGGCGGGTGGATCACAAGGTTAAGAGATCGAGACCATCTTGGTCAACATGGTGAAACCCCTTCTCTACTAAAAATACAAAAAAATTAGCTGGGCCTGGTGGGGCGTGCCTTTAATCCCAGCTACTCAGGAGGCTGAGGCAGGAGAATTGCCTGAACCCAGGAGGCAGAGGTTGCAGTGAGCCGAGATCGCACCATTGCACTCCAGCCTGGGTAACAAGAGCGAAACTCCGTCTCAAAAAAAAAAAAAAAAAAAAAAGAAGATAAAAACAGATGGTATGGTGGCACACGCCTATAGTCCTAGCTACTCAGGAGACTGAGGCAGAAGGATTGCTGGAACCCAGAATTGCCAGGCTGCCATGAGCTACAATTGCACCACTGTACTCCATCCAGCCTGGGTGACAAAGACCCTGTTTCTAAAAAATAAAAACACAAATAACTCAATCAAAAAATAAGCAAACGGGCTGGTCCGAGTGCAGTGGTGTTTACAGCTAATTGATCACAACCAGTTACAGATTTATTTGTTCCTTCTCCACTCCCACTGCTTCATTTGACTAGCCTTAAAAAAATTAAAAAATTAAAAAATTAAAAATAAAATAAGCAAAGGATATTAATATTTATCCAAAGACATACATACAAAGAAGGCCAGGCACAGTGACTCAAGCCTGTAATCCCAGCACTTTGGGAGACCAAGGTGGGCACATCACCTGAGACTGTGAGTTCAATACCAGCCTGGCTAACATGGTGAAACCCTGTCTCTACTAAAAATACAAAAATTAGCTGGGCATGGTGATACATGCCTAAAATCTCAACTACTTGGGAGATTAAGGCAGGAGAATCACTTGAACCTGGGAGGTGGAGGTTGCAATGAGCTGAGATCGTGCCACTGTACTCCAGCCTAGGAGACAGAGCAAGGCTGTCTGAAGAAGAAAAAAAAAAAAGGGCCAGGCACAGTGGCTCACGCCTGTAATCCCAACACTTTGGAAGCCCAAGTCAGGCAGATCATGAGGTCAAGAGTTCAAGACCAGCCTGGCCAACATGGTGAAACTCTATCTCTACTAAGAATGCAAAAATTAGCCAGGCATGGTGGTGCATGCCTGTAATCCCAGCTACTCGGGAGGCTAAGGCAGGAGAATCTGGGAGGCAGAAGCTGCAGTGAGCTGAATCATGCCCCTGCACTTCAGCCTGGGCGACAGAATAAGAAGTTCCCTCAAAAAAAAAAACTAAATAAAGAAAAAAAAAAGAAAATATGCTCAATATCATCATTAGGGAAATACAAAACAAAAACATAATGAAGTACTACTTAGAATGGCTAAACTAAAAAAGATAGTAACAAGTATTGATGAAGATATGGAAAAACTAGAAGCCCCATACAATGTTAAAGAGAATGTAAAATGGTGCAGCCACTTTGGAAAACAGCTTAGCAGCTCCTCAAAAAGTTAATCAGTTACCATATGACACAGTAATTCCACTTCTAGGTATATACCCGGAAGAAGAACATGTCCACATAAAACCTGTTTACAGCAGTATTCATAAGAGCTAAAACGTGGAAAAAAGCCAAATTTCCATCAACTGATGAATGGATAACATGTGATATATCCTTACAATGGACTATTATTCAGCAATAAAAAGGAATGAAGTACTGACACATGCTACAACATAAAACCTGAAAACATAATGCTATGTAAAAGAAGCGAATCACAGAAAAACAAATACCGTATTATTTCACTTATAACAAATACCCAGAATAGACAAATCTACAAAGATACAAATACCTTAGTGATTGCCCAGGGCTGCTAATGGATAGGAAGTTTCTTTCTGGGGTGATAAAAATCTTCTGAGGCCAGGCACAGTGGCTCACACCTGTAACCCCAGCACTTTGGGAGGCCAAGGCAGGCAGATCATTTGAGGTCAGGAGTTTGAGGCCAGTCTGACCAACATGATGAAACCCCATCTCTACTAAAAAATACAAACTAGCCAGGCATGGTAGCAGGCGCCTGTAATCTCAGCTACTCAGGCGGCTGAGGCAGGAGAATAGCTCGAACCCAGGAGGCAGAGTTTGCAGTGAGTCAACGTCATACCACTGCACTCCAGCCTGGACAACAGAGCAAGACTCCCTCTCAAAGAAAAAAAAAAGTTCCAAAATTTTTTTCTTTTTTTGGAGTCTTACTCTGTTGCCCAGGCTGGAGTGCAGTGCCACAATCTTGGCTCACTGCAACCTCCACTTCCTGGGTTCAAATCATTCTTCTGCCTCAGCCTCCCAAGTAAATGGGATTACAGGTGCAAACCACCATGTCACACTATTTTTTTTGTATTTTTAGTAGAGACAGTGTTTCAACATGTTGCCCAGCCTGGTCTCGAACTCCTGAGTCCAGGCAATCCGCCCACCTTGGTCTACCGAAGTGCTGGGATTACAGGTGTGAGCCACCACACCCAGCTGAAAATGTTCTGAAATTTAAGTAGTGGTGATGGTTGTACAACTTAGTGAACATACTAAAAATCACTGAATTATACACTTTAAAAGTGAATTTTATGGGAAGTGAACTGTATCTAATTAAAGTTATTTTTTATTTTATTTTTTTGAGATGGAGTTTTGCTCTTGTTACCCAGGCTGGAGTGCAATGGGGCGATCTCGGCTCACCGCAACCTCCGCCTCCTGGGCTCAGGCAATTCTCCTGCCTCAGCCTCCTGAGTAGCTGGGATTACAGGCACGCGCCACCATGCCCAGCTAATCTTTTGTATTTTTAGGAGACGGGTTTCACCATGTTGACCAGGATGGTCTCGATCTCTTGACCGCGTGATCCACCCGCCTCAGACTCCCAAAGTGCTGGGATTACAGGCTTAAAGTTATTTTTTAAATGCTACTATTTGAACCATATGAAAGTGCCATTTTTGCAGTCCAAAAACAGAATATTGGAAACTTTTCAACCTACGATCATAAAAGACATGATCTTTTGTTTGGAAAAATAGTCCAGATCTACCCATTCATAAAAAGCAAGCAGCAGCCAGACATGGTGTTTCACGCCTGTAATCCCAACACTTTGGGAGGCCAAGGTGGGTACATCACCTGAGGTCAGGAGTTCAAGACCAGCTTGGCCAACATGCTGAAACTCCATCTCTACTAAAAATACAAAAATTAGCCAGGTATGGTGGCACATGCTTGTAGTCCCATCTACTCGGGAGGCTAAGGCAGGAGGAGAATCGCTTGAACCTGAGAGGCAAGAGGTTACTGAGCTGAGATCGCAATGCTGCACTCCAGCCTGGGCAACAGAGTGAGACTCCTCTTCCCAAAAAAAAAAAAAAAACCCAAGCAGGGAAGATTTCAAGGTGTTTAAAGGCTGCACAGGACACACAGGAGAAAGGTTTCAGTTGGCCACTCCAGCTTCCAAATATATTTGTACCCAATTAATTTCTTGATTTTTACAATAGATTTGTAAGTACATAAACAGATAGAGTAAATATGACAGCAAGCCAAATATCTGCAATTTAAAAACCTCAATCTTAAATTTAACAGAGTATGATATGCAAAATATATACACATTTTTTTTTAATTTCAGTTATTAAAATGAAATTGATCTTACTGCTCTAAATTCAAATAAACTTAAAACTACCCTTTTGTCCTCTAAATTTGTCAGATTAACTCTAGCTAGTTTTTTAAACTTTCAAATGACATTTTCCCATGACAAATGCAGATCTATAAGCTGCCTTAAATCCTTCTTAGAAGTAGAATATGCCGGGTGCGGTGGCTCAAGCCTGTAATCCCAGCACTTTGGGAGGCCGAGGCGGGTGGATCACGAGGTTGAGAGATCGAGACCAACCCGGTCAACATGGTGAAACCCTGTCTCTACTAAAAATACAAAAAATTAGCTGGGCATGGTGGCGCGTGCCTGTAATCCCAGCTACGCAGGAGGCTGAGGCAGGAGAATTGCCTGAACCCAGGAGGCGGAGGTTGCAGTGAGCCGAGATCGCGCCATTGCACTCCAGCCTGGGTAACAAGAGCGAAACTCTGTCTCAAAAAAAAAAAAAAAAAAGAAGAAGTAGAATACAGGGAGTTGGGGAGAGATAGCATGGGGAGAAATGCCAGATATAAGTAAAGGGGAAGGCAGCAAATCACACTGCCATGTGTGTACCTAGGCAACTATCTTGCATGTTCTTCAAATGTACCCCAAAACCTAAAATGCAATTAAAAAAAAAAGTAGAATATAAATTATTAACAGGTAATTAATAAGAGTAGCCAGGTGGTTTAGAATACATTCATTTAGTTAGCTGAGATGACTCATTACCAGCTTACTTACCCAAATGCAATGCTTCCTGGTACCTCTTGGTATCAAAGTACAAAGACACCAGTCTTGCCTAGGAAAGAGAAAAGGCAGTGATTGAAGGGGGGCAAAGAAAAGCCACAGAAAGAAATCAAAGATTGACAGTCACAGAACTGTTACTGTTAAATATGCAATTTCTGACCATAACAGCGTAAGAGAAGCTCTAGCCAAGTATTGTCTCCTATTATGGCCAGCAAATGACTGTTAACTTTACCATATTATTACTTATTACTCTAAGCCTAGTAGCAAATCTGTCTCAAAACTTCAATCAGGGCAATTCTCATAAGTGGGACTACCATCAATAATCTTTCAGTATCTAGGTAATTACAAAGTTGCTGAAGATACTTTTGATAAGAATGGTAATTCATCCTCTGTCTCATGCTTAGAGACCTGAAATCAGTACTAACGTAAAACATACCTCCAAAGCTTGGCGTAAGAAAGTTCTTTTCTCTGATTTGGCCCATTCAATGCACTCTAAACACAGCTCGACCTGCAATAAGGAGAGATAGTACATACAATAGTATGTTCTCAAATTCTTTCCACAAACCATGCTCTGGAGAACAGCTTAAATTCCCTTCTTACATATTATCCATGTTTCTCTATTTAGTGTCTGATCCACAGGAGCTCAATGTGTAATGGATACTCCTCTTCTGCCTACCCAAGAGAGACCAAGAACTTCCAAACAACATATATAGATTTCCGGAATCTGATTTCTATGAAATGAATGTAGATTTCTATGACAGATTAGGTATTTTTAAAGCAAAGATTTCTCCCAAGTTAGAAATAGTAATGGTAATGTATAGTACACAGGTAATAAAGGGGAGAAATTTTCATCCTAAGCACTAATGCCTCATTCCTAGTAGTTGCCTTTAAGACTTAAAAGGTCCAGCTGGCTCTTTCCCTTTCAGATGCTAAGCAATGCAACTAATCAATTCATCATCACTCTTAAAGCAAACAGATACAGTAACTTAGCTTATATTAAAGGGAATAAAGGCTGGTCTGAAGGTGGTGAGCAATCTCGACTGGTCACAGTTACAGATCAAGCTCCCTATTTACTCTCTCCCCACTTCTCACTACTGCACTTTGACTAGTCTTAAAAAAATTTTTTTAAGGCCGGGCACGGTGGCTCAAGCCTGTAATCCCAGTACTTTGGGAGGCCGAGGCGGGTGGATCACAAGGTCAAGAGATCGAGACCATCGTGGTCAAAATGGTAAAACCCCGTCTCTACTAAAAATACAAAAAATTAGCTGGACATGGTGGCGTGTGCCTGTAATCCCAGCTACTCGGAAGGCTGAGGCAGGAGAATTGCCTGAACCCAGGAGGCGGAGGTTGCGGTGAGCTGAGATCATGCCATTGCACTCCAGCCTGGGTAACAAAAGTGAAACTCCGTGTCAGAAAAAAAAAAAAAAAAAAATTTAATTTAAAAAAAAAAAAAGAAATTAGAATTAGCCTAACACTTAAAAGTGCTTTTCAGCTTTATTTAAAGGCACTCTGAACCCCTACTCCTATCTGTCACCTAAGCAGTGAGGTAAGGTGCAAAGTAACTGATTTAAAGCAGCACTCAATGCTAGAGAGTCTAGCACACCATCAGGTATCCCTGACATGCTAGCTTTGACAGAGTAAATATTAAGTACTACAGCTCTATCACTTCTGTTATTAAAAGTTTTATATTAAGGTTGCTAATCAGAGCATAAGATCAAAAGAAATGAAATGAGAAACTGAGCTTTCTGGAGAACTAATTGCTAAAACAGGTTTTTATATACATCCAAAGTTCTCTTAAGTAACGCTGGCCAGGCATGGTGGCTCATGCCTGTAATACCAGCACTCTGGAAGGCCCAGGCCAGTGGATCATCTGAGGTCAGGAGTTCAAGGCCAGCCTGACCAACATAGAGAAACCCCATCTCTAATAAAAATATAAAAAATTAGCTAGGTGTGGTGGCGCATGCCTTTAATCCCAGCTACTCAGGAGGCCAAGGTAGGAGAATCACTTGATCCCAGGAGAGGTAGAGGTTGTGGTGAGCCGAGATCATGCCATTGTACTCCAGCCTACGCAACAAGAGCAAAACTCCATCTAAAAAAAAATGCTTTAAGAAGGAAAAACTACAGGGACATAATCCAAATTGACAGGATCTTCTGCTTTTAGATTCTAAATTCTAGCTCTGTAAATAGATTAACAGATAACATTACATGGTATTCAGAGGATTCACCAGGAAGAGAACCAACAAAACCTTTACAACTCCTCAATGGAGCCCCCTGGTGGCTACCCAATCTCAACTCTAAACTCAACTGACCTCCTAAAAATCCTCTAAAAATAAGACAGAACCAAAAACTAAAATAAAAGCAAGCTTTATCACAATTGCAGAGTTTTGAGTTATATTCTGAAATGCTAAATTCAAAGTAAGATTTCTAATATAGGCCGGGCGCGGTGGCTCAAGCCTGTAATCCCAGCACTTTGGGAGGCCGAGGCGGGTGGATCACAAGGTCAAGAGATCAAGACCAACCTGGTCAACATGGTGAAACCCCGTCTCTACTAAAAATACAAAAAATTAGCTGGGCATGGTGGCGCGTGCCTGTAATCCCAGCTACTCAGGAGGCTGAGGCAGGAGAATTGCCTGAACCCAGGAGGCGGAGGTTGTGGTGAGCCGAGATCGCGCCATTGCACTCCAGCCTGGGTAACAAGAGCGAAACTCCGTCTCAAAAAAAAAAAAAGATTTCTAATATAAATGGAACTGAAAATATTTCACTGAATAGTCTTAGCAAAGGAAATATAAGTGTTTAGTTCTACATGATTTGGAAGGGTAAGAAATGCTCCCCCCCTTTTACCCAGGGAGTTTTTTCAAAGGACACAAAAATGAATGCCGGGGACTTAGAAATATTCCTCTGTAACTTATATTTCAATAAATCATTTACCACCCCTACCTACCAAAAAAAAGAATGTCTGGGCTGTTGATTCAGTAGTCTAGAATAGAGCACAGTCACTTAAAGTATATCTCTAATTAAGAAACAATGAATTATATTCCTACAATTCACCTGCCTCCATTTCCCTGATAGTCCAGATATTAAGTGATTCACCTAAGGTGAACTGACAGGCAACACTACACAGGTTACATTAGAGGATTCGCTAGTAAGAGAACCAACAAAACCTTTGTAACTCCTCATTAAAGCCCCTGGTGGCTACCTCTTCTCCAACTCTAAACTCAACTGACCTCTTAAAAGTTCTGTAAAAATAAGACAGAACCACCAGCCTGGCCAATATGGTGAAACCCTGTTTGTACTAAAAATACAAAAATTAAACAGGAATGGTGGTGCACACTTATATAGTCCCAGCTACTTGGGAGGCTGAGGCAGGAGAATCGCTTGAACCCAGGAGGCAGAGGTTGTAGTGAGCTGAGTTCTCACTAATGACTCCAGCCTGGGCGACAGAGCAAAACTCAGTCCCCAACAAAAATAAATAAATGAATAAGAACCAAAAACTAGCCGGGCGCGGTGGCTCAAGCCTGTAATCCCAGCACTTTGGGAGTCCGAGGCGGGTGGATCACGAGGTCGAGAGATCGAGACCATCCTGGTCAACGTGGTGAAACCCCGTCTCTACTAAAAATACAAAAAATTAGCTGGGCATGGTGGCGCGTGCCTGTAATCCCAGCTACTCAGGAGGCTGAGGCAGGAGAATTGCCTGAACCCAGGAGGCGGAGGTTGCGGTGAGCCGAGATCGCACCATTGCACTCCAGCCTGGGTAACAAGAGCAACACTCTGTCTCAAAAAAAAAAAAAAAGAAAAGAAAAGAACCAAAAACTAAAAAGCAAGCTATATCACAATTGTATGAGATGAGTTCACCTAAGAACTACTAATCAGTTAATATCTGGACTATCATATGTACCAACTGCTGGGACCAGAACTTGTGCCTAACTCCAGCACTCTTTCTGTCTTAACCCAGCCTTAAGTTAAGGTCATCACAGATGTTTCTCCTACAGCAAGCTTTTTTTTTTTTTTTTTTTTTTTTTTTAACATAAACTGGGTATCTTTTTTCTTTTTCTTTCTTTCTTTTTTTTTTTTTCTTTTTTGAGATGAAGTCTCACTCTTGCGTCCAGGCTAGGGTGCAAATGGCACAATCTCAGGTCACTGCAACCTCCGCCTCCCAAGTTCAAGCAGTTCTCCTGCTCAGCCTCCTGAGTAGCTTGGATTACAGGCACCCACCACCATGCTAAGCTAACTTTTATATTTTGGTAGAGATGGGGTTTGACCATGTTGGTCAGGCTGGTCTCGAACTGCTGACCTCAAGTGACCTGCCGACCTCGGCCTCCCAAAGTGTTGGGCTTACAGGCGTGAGCCACCATGCCCAGATGGATACCTTTATCAATAACAAAGAACTGTAATTGGTGAAACCAGCACCTCAGTTCTAAGGAAAACTTTAAAAAGCACTGCTCTTGCTATTTGGCTATTTTGTTTTGTTTAAGAGGCTCTGTGCTTTGTTAATGCCAACAATGACTGATAAAAGGCATAAGAATATAAAAGAAGTCCATGCTTCTGGAGGAAGGCTCTTACTTGAGTACAAAAACCTGATGTGGTCAAAATTAGATATTTAAGCTTTAAATCAGTACTTAACCATTAAAAAAAAAAAAAAAAAACTTTATTAACCAAATTCCTGTGGGGAAAAAACAATATTCCAAGTCTGAAATCCTGTCGAACAAACCCGTTTTTTCCATTGAAACTTGTTTTGATAGCATGATTTGTGATATAACGTTTCTTAAAATGTGCTATTGTGTTTCAGTTGTGTAGACTACACCAAAAAAGTTGCCCACAGCTATTCCCTAGAGATCCCTGGAAGGTAAAGTTAATTCTGCAAGTTTAGTTCACTATTTGGCAAGAGTCTGGTTGAGTCTTCCTTCCCTCCTCTTCACTTTACTTTTCTACTCCCCAGTCCTTGACAACTACCCCATCCTCACTCTCTCACTCTCCCACTCACATGCCCTCACTTTCTAGGCTTCAAACCTTACATTCAAATGAACAGATCATAACCTAAATCATACTAACTTTGGGGACAGCAAGCTGAAGATGGTTCTATAGATGTATCTGTCTTATAGTTAGTCCTCAAATAGAAAAAAAACAAGGAAAATCCCCTCCCTCATACTCACAGTACCAAACTCCTTAACACAAAATTCTAGCTGTCTTAACAGTGTTCTTAAACATCTTATTTTGCCAGGCACAGTGGCTGACATCTGTAATCAAGGCACTTTGGGAGGCTGAGGCAAGCAGATCGCTTGAGGCCAGGAGTTTGAGACCAGTCTGGGCAGCACAACAAGACCCTATCTCTACAGAAATTTTGTTAATTAGCCAGGTGTAGTGGTGCACATCTGTACTCCCAGCAACTTGGGAGGCCGAGGCAGGAAGATTGTTTGAGCCCAGAAGTTCAAGGTTATGGTGAACTATGATCGCACCTGCACTCCAGCATGAGCAGTAGACCAAGACCCCCATTTCAAATAAATTAAATAAAATTTCCTATTTTGTCTCAGGCCTCAATACTACTAGGAGAGCCATCCACCTAAGACTTGCTTGTCTATTCTTTCCCAACACCCAATCCAAGAATTTTAAAAGAACTAAGAATAAGGCCAGGTACAGTGGCTCTCACACACACCTGTAATCCTGGCACTTTGGGAGGCCGAGACAGGCAGATCACCTGAGGTCAGGAGTTCGTGACCACCCTGGCCAATATGGCAAAACCCCATCTCTACTAAAAATACAAAAATTAGCTGGGTGTGGTGGAACACACCTATAATCCCAGCTACTCAGGAGGCTGAGGCAGAAGAATCGCTTGAACCCATGAGGCGGAGGTTGTAGTGAGCCAAGATCACACCACTGCACTCCAGGCTGGGAGACAGACTCCATCTCAAAAAGAAAAAAGAACTAAGAACAAAAATGATATCCTATTTCTCCAAGTCAGAGACCTTGAGTTACCTAAACAAATGTAGTAACAACACCCCATGCTTACATCTCAATTCAATAAACTCAGATCTTAATTCAACAAAGTATTTCCTGGCTGGGCATAGTGTCTCATGTCTGTAATTCCAGCACTTTGGGAGGCCAAGTCCAGAGGATCGCTTAAGCCCAGGAGCTCAAGACCTGCCAGAGCAACACGGCAAAATCCCATCTCTACTAAAAATACAAAAAAAGAAAAATAGCCAGGAGTGGTGGTGTGCACCTGTAGTCCCAGCTATTTGGGAGGCTGAAGTGGGAGAATTACTTGAGCCCAGGAAGTTGAGGCTGCAGTGCGCTGTGAGCACACCACTGCACATCTATCATAGGGAAGGCACAGCCACAGGCCATACATTCCTTCAACAAATAGGTACGCAGCTTCTTCAAATCAAAGCACTCTAAGTGCTAGGGATACAGCAGTCAACAGGACAAAGTAGATATTACCTTAATGGAACTTCAGGAGGAAACATGTTAAACAAGAGTTATATTTATCTATTTTATATATACACACACATATACATGGTTTTTTTTTGAGACAGAGTCTCACTGTGTTGCCCATGCTGCAGCGCAGTGCCACGAGCTCGGCTCACTGGAAGCTCTACCCCCGTTCAAGTGATTATTGTGCCTCAGCCACCTGAATAGCTGAGATTACAGGCGTGGACCTAGCTAATTTTTGTAAAAAATATTTTTTATGGAAGAAAGCTTTTGATTTACCTACCCCACACACACACAAAAAAAATTTTTTTAAAGGAAGCAAAGATAGGGTATTTTAGATAGGGTGATTAAGGAAAGTCTCTGAAGAGGTAAGACGTGAACAAAAACGTGAAACAATGTAAAGAAAAAACCCCTGATAAGATCAAACTGACAGCAGTCCATATGTATATAAATGTTCCAAGCCCAGACAGTTTGAAGTATAGAAAAATAAGGCCAGTAATTATAGCCATAAAAAAAGTAAAAGCAGACCAGGATAGTGGATGTGGGCAGTGGTAGCCATGGCTAAGGAATCTGAACTGTACTGGGAATGAGGCTGTGTGGTACTGCAAGGCATACAGTGCTTCACCTGAGTGAGATTATATTGCAGAGAAAGAGATAAGGCAAGCGTAAAGCAATTGCAGACGAGGCAGAATAATCAGAAACAGAGCATGTATAAAATATAATGTGAGTCACTCAAAGAGTTAAAACCGCCGGGCGCGGTGGCTCAAGCCTGTAATCCCAGCACTTTGGGAGGCCGAGGCGGGTGGATCACGAGGTCGAGAGTTCGAGACCATCCTGGTCGACATGGTGAAACCCCGTCTCTACTAAAAATACAAAAAATTAGCTGGGCATGGTGGCGCGTGCCTGTAATCCCAGCTACTCAGGAGGCTGAGGCAGGAGAATTGCCTGAACCCAGGAGGCGGAGGTTGCGGTGAGCCGAGATCGCGCCATTGCACTCCAGCCTGGGTAACAAGAGCGAAACTCCGTCTCAAAAAAAAAAAAAAAAAAAGAGTTAAAACCACATTAAAGCCAGGAAGGAAAGCGTTCAGAGGTGGAACCTGAGATAAGACTATGGAAGGGAAAGGTAAAGCATGAGGGTCACACAGGGCTTGTTCAGCAAACAACCAGGCATACAACATGGCTGACATGTTTGATACGCTTAGTAGAGTACTGGGAGATTAGACTACTGCAGTAGGTTGTATTGCAGAAGGTTGTATTGTAGAAAACCATTAATTATCTAACTCTGCAGCCAATGGAAAGCCACTGAAGGTTTGAGTTATGGGAGAAGAGGAAGAGGAATAAAAAAATTATTAGAGGGCTATTTGGTAAAGTATCTCTGACTACAGTGGAATGAGGCTTTTGCAGTAGTCCAAGTAAAAAATTACCAAACTAGATGGTAGTTGTAAAGAGAGAACAAATACAAAAGAGGTGGAGAAGCAGACACTGAAGAAAGCTGAATTGATAAAATTTAATAAATGGCTGGATGTTGACGTTGCCCATATTGACTTTAAGGTGTAGGTGAGACAATCTGGATGATTCACAATTTGGTCCAAAACAAGCAAATAACCTATAATCCACAAAAATTACCAAAAGAAGTCCTGCTTAGTGGAATAAGACTCTGGTTCTTGATAAAAGCAAAACTGCTAATCATTAAAAACAATCAGCCTTCGCTGGGTGTACTGGTGCACACCTGTAATCCTAGCACTTGGGAGAGCAAGGCAGCTGGATCATTTGAGCCCAGGAGTTCAAGACCAGCCTGGGCAACATGGCAAAATCCCATCTCTACAAAAATACAAAAATTAGCCGAGCATGGTTAAGTGCATACCTATAGTCCCAGCTACTCAGGAGGCTAAGGCAGAAGGATTACTTGACTCCAGGAGGTTGAAGCTGCAGTGAGCTAAGATTGTGCCACTGCACTCCAGCCTGGACAATAGAGCAAGACTGTCTCAAAAAACAAAAACAGACTTTACTAAAAACTAAAATGACACTGATGATAAAATGATACAATGCCTAAAAGTGTATCCTTTCACCCTAAAAAAAGGAAGAAAGGTCTCTAGTTTATATAAAGTTATGTGCAATGAACAATGACAACACACAACCACAGTTAAGGGAGCGCCTAACCAGTCAGAGTCACATGACAAAGGCCAGGGAATCCTAGTAACCAACTCTAACAGAGCACTAAAATGTGACTTGAGTGGATTTCCACATAGGAATAGGAGAAATGACCATTAAACAAATGCACGTCGGGCACGGTAGCTCATGCCTGTCATCCCAAAACTTTGGGAGGCCAAGGAGGGTAGATCATCTGAGGTCAGCAGTTCAAGACCAGCCTGACCAACATGGTGAAACTCCATCTCTAATAAAATACAAAATTAGCCAGGTGTGGTAGCGCATGCCTGTAATCCCAACTACTGGGGAGGCTGAGGCAGGAGAATCCCTTGAACCTGGGAGATGGAGGTTGCAGTGAGCCAAGATCATGCCATTGCACTCCAGCCTTGGCAACAAGAACAAAACTCCATCAAAAAAAAAAAAAAATGCAGTTCTAGCCACTGAAACAGCTCTAGGTTATGGAGAGGGATAATTTCGGAAACTTCAGTGTGCAAAAAGGAACAGCTTCCACAATTAATTTTTCTGCCCCAAAACTTCCAAGTAATAATTATTAGTCAGTTTCAAATTGACATGTAAATGTTAATCAGTCTCTGTTAACGTACTTTATTTCAAACAAAGGATGGTACCACTGTCATGAGTTTTTAAAGTATAATTTTTTTTAAAGTCTAATACTCCAAATAACTTTTAATTTATTCATTAAAATAACTGACGCTTGAATTCAAAATAGCCATCTATTTTTAATAGACAATCATCAAACATCTTGGCCAGAGACATGAATCTGAACACTGCTCCACAAATAAACTTTCTGCAAATAGTTAGTATATAGTGTTTAAATCAGGATTCAAAGAATCATTAAGGCCAGATTTTACAAAAGATATGATTCCCAAGTGGGATGCATGTGTCCTAGGTTTCTGAAATTCCCATTTATTCAATATGCTACTAAGACCTTTCATACCTTTCATGCCCACAGAGGCGACAGCAATCAAGACATATAACCAACTAGCAATTGTGCCCTTACATTATCCGACATTTTATATTTGTTTACTGCCTGCCTTCCCCATAAAAAAATAATTCTCATGACAACAGTGACTGTGTTTTTTCAACTGTATCCCCAGTACTTGAAACATGCCTAACATGTAACAGGCACTCAATGAATACTGATCAATATATCCATAAGAAAGACAAAAACTATATTCTTCTACAAACAGATCCAAGCAATTACAATATACCCTGCTTGAATCTGCCACTTTTTACAGAATGATGTTTAATTTTGATATATGTCTCTTCCTGAATTGCAGAAAATAGTTATCTTTGAAAAGGTTGGAAAAGATTCCGTGATTACAGAGAAGCACTCTTTAATATAGCTCAGGATCTAGTCTGAACTTGTGGGACACGTACAGGAACACCAGAGTCACTTCTGCACAATGAGACACAAACGGATGGATGTCACCCCTCACTAAAGGCATATATGCAGTACAAAACATGCCAAGAAGGGATACAACAGACTTAATTAGTGCTCAGAAGGAGCTTTGTGACACAAGATGAAAGGTACCACAGACACAGAAAACATTACAAAGGTGTGGCAATACAATACCTCAAAGACAAGAATCAGTTTGTGACCCTGATGTAATGAGGATTCCAGGGACCACTGACAATCTCCACTTACAAAGCAAAGCATGGAACAGACCCAAAGTATCAAATGCCCTGTAACAAAGAGAAACTGACATGATAAGTCCTGCGCTGTCCTCCCAGCTTTCCTTTCCACATTAGTAGTAAAGTGCAGGCAGGCATTTCTTTCATGGAGACAAAGTTTTCTCCATATTGTCTACTTTCTGTCATTAATATCACTTACCTCCTGCCCTGTAGCTGCTTCCATATCAAGAAACAGATCAAGAAGAGATCGGACCAGGCGAGCTGCTTTAGCCTTGCTGATGGAATTCAAGAAGGGTCGCACATACTTCAGGAGTCCCCCAAGCTCTGTATGAAAGGCAATTCAAAAAGAGAAGTAAACATCAACATTTGAAACAAAATACCCATTTAAAAAATTGACCCAACATCATAAAAATCAGTACTTACATCACTGGAATCAGTCTAAAAGAAACTTACTAGGAGTTTAAAGCATTCCTATTTCAGTTAGGAAGGTGAATAAGACAAGGAGAAGAAAAAAAAAAAAAAAAGCATTCCTAGCAAATAGCAGAGTAGCAAAAATAAGTTAACATTATATACCAAATTTTCATTCTGTTCCCTACTCAGCCACCAGATTACTATGAAGTTACAGGAAAAGCTCATGTCTCTGCTTCATTTATTCATCTTAATGAAAGATAAACAGCCAAGTACTCATAATCTCAAAAAGCAGTTTTCTAGAACATGAAATATGCTGTGTCCCTGCCACCTTAACAAAATTACTTCCTCACAACCAAAAAATTATGATCAAGTTATAAAAGTAATTTTTTTTCTAATTTCCAAGTCTACTTCAGCTGTTCCCCTTAAATAGACAGAGGTTTTCTACTCCAGATGCCTTTTTCCTGTCTTTCTGCAGTGTTCCCCAGTTTAGCCTTTCTGCAGTATCACTTCCCTGGCACTCTTCTGAATAAACTTTTCACATAGAAGTTAGAGTGTTTTGCCCTGAAAATGCTACTGTATCTCTTTTAAATTTCTCATAAATCTTCAAAACCTAAGTCTTACACTATGACCAAAAAAGGTATCCACCATAGAGCATTTCCCCCACTTTATAGAAGAGGGTAGTACACAAACTCTAAAGAAACATCTTTCAAAACAATAAACTACAAAAAAAAAAAAAAAAAAAAACAATAAACTAGAGATATGTTTGTCAAACAATAAAAATTAGAGGATGTTTCAACTAAACAACTAAGGAGGTATTTCTGGAATGTAGGTTAAAATTACTTTAGTGCCACTGCCTCTTTAATATTCTCCAATTGCAGACTCACCCTCCTGAGAACTCTAATTCAGGGCAAGCAAACCTCACCCTCCAGAGAACGCTAATTCAAGGCCCTGAAATTCTCATCTGCCTGAATAATCAGAGAATGTACAGGACTGTGTCAGGTACTTAAGAACTTGACATAGAGTCGAAAAGTTGATTTTTCCCCATCACTCCCCAGTATTGACCTTTGATTCCCAATGTTAAAAACTTTTTGCCACCAGGCACGGTGGCTCAAGCCTGTAATCCCAGCACTTTGGGAGGCCGAGGCGGGTGGATCACGAGGTCAAGAGATCGAGACCATCCTGGTCGACATGGTGAAACCCCGTCTCTACTAAAAATACAAAAAATTAGCTGGGCATGGTGGCTCGTGCCTGTAATCCCAGCTACTTAGGAGGCTGAGGCAGGAGAATTGCCTGAGCCCAGGAGGCGGAGGTTGTGGTGAGCCGAGATCGCGCCATTGCACTCCAGCCTGGGTAACAAGAGCGAAACTCCGTCTCAAAAAAAAAAAAAAAAAACTTTTTGCCATTCTGCCACCTCATTCACCTCTGCACAGACTATGGCATATACTCCTGCTTCTAAGAGATACTAATGCCATAATCCCATCTGAAATGTCTTCCTATCTTTTCAGCCTATACAAATCTTATATATCCTTTCGGGTCCATTGAAGTCCTATTGTGTTTTCCATGCTAACTCCAGTCTAGAGTGATTCTCCCCCTCAAATTCCTTCTGCATTTATTTCAATTATATTATGTAATGACGGCTTTTTTAAAGTAGTCTGGTGCAATGTCCTTTCTCCCACAGAATTTCCTCCCGTGCCTGAACGATTCTAAATGATTTTTAGTCACAGAAATATTCACAAAACAGCCTATTCCAATGTTGGCCAAACCAAATTATTCCTTTTTGAAACACATATCTATACCTTCTTTCACATGGTTTTAAATACTTACAGATAACTATTATTTACATCTCCCTAACTTCCCCTTATCCAAGCTAAACATCTTTGGCCATTTCAATGGTTGCTCCAAAGTCCTTATTTCTAGATAACTTAGTTGCTCTCCTCTGAACAAACTCTAATTTGTAAAGTACTTGTGGTACTTTGTGGTACCCAGAAATGAAAACAATGCTCCAGGTAGGGTCTGACAGTAGACCAGGAGGCTTAATTCTCTTGATCTGGCCATCATATGTAACACAAGACAGCATGTTTTGCTTTTTCTAATACCTCTCTTGGTTCAGACTGAGTTCATTAAAGTACTTTTTAATAGACTACTGTTGAAACAGGTCATTCCCCCAACCTCTGTTTTGAAAAATACTTTAAGTATATAACTTAATCCATTTCACAACTGAATTTAATCTTCCTGGCTTTGGCAATAACCGTGAATCTTAATTCTGTCTTCTAAATGTACTGAGTCATCTACAAAAATAAACATGCCTTCTGAACGGCTTTAACCATTGATTCCAGATGCTGACCAGAAAAACAAGGACAGATCCTCATGACATAATGCCTAAAAACTTCCCTTCAGGTTGACAAATGATTCATTTATTAACATGTTTTGGATAAAGTTATTCAGCCCATTGTAAATTCATAACCTGTACTTGTGATAATATTATGGCAAATGTTCAACTATCCTGCTTACATCAGATATATAGTCTATATCATTCCTCTAATCCAGGGGCTGGCAAACCTTATCTGTGAAGGACCAGACAGTAAATTTTTTCGGCTTTGCAGGTTATATGGTCTTAGTAGCAGGTCCTGAACTCAGCCAGTCAGACAGAGTGTGGAAACAAATGGGCATGGCTTTGTTCCAATAAAACTTTATTTACAAAAACAGATATCATGCAGAACTCTGAAAATCTATGGGTCTGATAAAGCTAACCCAAAAGAGAGAACTAGGCTGGCCATGGTGGTTCACACCTGTAATCCTAGCACTTTGGAAGGCCAAGGCAGGCGGATTGCTTGAGCTCAGGAGTTCAAGATCAGCCTGGGCAACATGGTGAAACCTCCCTCTACAAAAATACAAAAAATTAGCCAGGCATGGTGGTGTGGGCCTGTAGTCCCAGTTACTTGGGGAGCTGAGGCAGGAGCATCACTTGATCCCAGGAGGTCGAGGCTGCACTGAGCCAAGATCGTGCCACTGTACTCCAGCTTAGGTGACAAAGTGAGACTCTGTCTCAAAAAAACAAAACAAAACAAAAAAAGAAAGAAGTTAAGATAAGTTTGGAATAATATGTTCACAATAAATCCACTGTTTTAAGAGATTACCATCTCCTTATCAAATAATCTGTCCCAGAACTCTACCACTGATGACCATGTATAGTGTCTATTCTTTATTTTGCTTCAATGTACACCACACAGTGAATACATCTATTCTTTGCATTACCCTCTTGAAAGGTAGAATAACATTTGCCCATCCTCAGTTTCCTTATACCTCTTCATGATTTTTCTCAGAATATATGGCTCTATAGTTATAAGTGTTAGAACTATTATTTGATAAGAGTCTAAAGACCTGAACTTACTTACAGAGACTATCTGTTCTGTCTTCTCTCACCTACCATTAATTCTCTCTTTCTGCAGTTATTTCTATTTTTTTTCACTTTGAAAAATCATTTTCCTTCCTAGAAAAGGCAGAGGTGAAACATGAGCTAAGCAGTCTGCCTTTTTCTCTAACACCTGATAGCATTACAATATTTTCTCTAAGCACTGTTATTCTTCTTACCCTAAGAGAGAAGCAAATGATCTCTTAGTTGTCCCCCTGCTTTTCTTTCTTTTTTGTCTTTTTTATTTTTTTGAGAAAGAGCATCAGTCAGTCACCCAGGCTGTAGTACAATGGTGCAATTGTAGCTCACTGCAGCCTTGACCTCCCAAGCTCAAGTGATTCTCCTTCCTCTGTTTCCCAAGTACCTGGGACCACAGGCACACATCACCACATCCAGCCAATTTCTTAATTTTTTTGTAGACATGGGGTCTCCCTATGTTACCCATGCTGCTTTAAAAAAAATTTTAATAGAGATAGGGTCTCGCTATGTGGTGCAAACTGGTCTAACTCCCAGCTTCAAGCAATCCTCCCACCTCAGCTTCCCAAAGTGCTGGGATTACAGGTGTGAGCTACTGTGCCCAGCTGCCATTTTTCAAAAGACTCAGTTCATCTTCTGTTTTAGTCTACTACTGTTTTATATTCATTCTTGTTTATACTTCCTGTTTCTATTTTCATACATACTGAGTTAATTTTTTTTTAAGTCCTATAAAAACATACTGACTTCTTCCTATTCTTACTGGGATTATTTGTAATTATATGACCAGAATTTCCTGGTCAGAACCTCACAGAACTTAGCTGAGCACAGTCGCTCACACCTGTAATCCCAGCACTTTGAGAGGGCGAGGCAGGTGGATCACCTGAGGTCAGGAGTTCAAGATCAGCCTGGCCAACATGGTGAAACGTCATCTCTACTGAAAAAAAAAAAAAAAATTGCCGGGCACGGTGGCTCAAGCCTGTAATCCCAGCACTTTGGGAGGCCGAGGCGGGTGGATCACGAGGTCGAGAGATCGAGACCATCCTGGTCAACATGGTGAAACCCCGTCTCTACTAAAAGTGCAAAAAATTAGCTGGGCATGGTGGCACGTGCCTGTAATCCCAGCTACTCAGGAGGCTGAGGCAGGAGAATTGCCTGAGCCCAGGAGGCGGAGGTTGCGGTGAGCCGAGATCGCGCCATTGCACTCCAGCCTGGGTAACAAGGGCGAAACTCAGTCTCAAAAAAAAAAAAAAAAATTGCCGTGCATTGTGGCCCACAACTGTATAGTCCAAGCTACTTGGGAGACTGAGGCATGAGAATCGCTTGAACCCAGGAGGCAGAGATTGCAGGTAGCCAAGATCACACCGCTGCACTCTAGCCTGGGCAACAGAGTGAGACTTGGTCTCAAAAAAAAAAAAAAAAAAAAGGCTGGGCTCTGTGACTCATGCCTATAATCACAACACTTTGAGAGGCCAAGATGGGTGATCATTTGAGGTCAGGAGCCCAAGACCAGCCTGGCCAATATGGTGAAACCCCGCCTCTACTAAAAATACAAAAATTAGCCAGGCATGGTAGTAGGTGCTTGTATTTCAAGCTACTTGGGAGGCTAAGGCAGGAGAATCACTTGAACCTGAGAGGTTGAGCCCAGATTGCCACCACTGCACTCCAGCCTGGGCAACAGGGCAAGACTCTGAAGACTCTGTCTCCAAAAAAAAAAAAAAAGAAAGAAAAGAAAGAAAGAAAGGAAAGGAAGAAAGGAAGGAAGGAAGGAAGAAAGGAAGGAAGGAAGAAAGAAAGAAAGAAAGAGAAAGAAAGAAAAAGAAAGAAAGAACGAACGAACCTCACAGAACTCAACAGATTCCTTTTAAAAGTTTTAGGCATCGCTTCTCGGCCTTTTGGCTAAGATCAAGTGTAAAAGTTTTAGGCTATGAAATATGCAAATCCTGAGCCTAAGCATCATGTCTGATGATGCTCAACACTACTTGCAACCACAATTATACATCAGACATTGTTTTATAAAGTAATCCCCAAGTGACTGTTGTTGGCCAGGGATCCTATCTTAAATTTTTGAGTAGAATACTTAGCGCAATGCTATGCATATATTAAATGCATAAAAAACAAAACTGAAGATTAATGGAACAGATATATTTTCTGTTCTCAGGGAGCAAACAATACAAACCTCTCTATCACTAATAGCAAAGGCAGATAAATATATGTAGGCCCCAAGAATTCCTTAGAGTTCCCATTGTGTATACCTATACTCATCAAACTTTCTTTTTTTTTTTTTTTGAGACGGAGTTTTGCTCATTACCCAGGCTGGAGTGCAATGGCGCGATCTCGGCTCACCGCAACCTCCGCCTCCTGGGTTCAGGCAATTCTCCTGCCTCAGCCTCCTGAGTAGCTGGGATTACAGGCACGCGCCACCACACCCAGCTAGTTTTTTGTATTTTTAGTAGAGACGGGGTTTCACCATGTTGATCAGGATGGTCTCGATCTTTTGACCTCGTGATCCACCCGCCTCGGCCTCCCAAAGTGCTGGGATTACAGGCTTGAGCCACCGCGCCCGGCCAAACTTTCTTAGAAAACAATAAGTAACATAAAAATGTTTTTCAGGCCGGGCGCGGTGGCTCAAGCCTGTAATCCCAGCACTTTGGGAGGCCGAGGAGGGTGGATCACGAGGTCGAGAGATCGAGACCAGCCTGGTCAACATGGTGAAACCCCGTCTCTACTAAAAATACAAAAAACTAGCTGGGCGTGGTGGCATGTGCCTGTAATCCCAGCTACTCAGGAGGCTGAGGCAGGAGAATTGCCTGAACCCAGGAGGCGGAGGTTGCGGTGAGCTGGGATCGCGCCATTGCACTCCAGCCTGGGTAACAAGAGCAAAACTCCGTCTCAAAAAAAAAAAAAAAATGTTTTTCAAAGTTCTTGCCGGGCGCGGTGGCTCACGCCTGTAATCCTAACACTTTGGGAGGCTGAGGTGGGTGGATCGCCTGAGGTCAGGAGTTCAAAACCAGCCTGGCCATCATGGTGAAACCCCATCTTTAAAAAAAAAAAAAAAGAAAGAAAGAAAGTTAGTTCTTATAATTCATCTATTAAATTCTAACAGGTTTAGCAGTACACTTCTAAACTTCTCAGGTATTGGGTCATAAGGCAGGAAGGGCAAGAAATAAGGGGAGATTACCTTAAAAAAATAGGAATTTCAAGCAAAACAGTAACATTTCGGATGAAAATTACTGAAGTGTTGACTATATACCATGTACTTGTTCTTAATTCATGCCACGGGAGGAAAGTAGAAATCTGGATATTGCAACAAAAAAATATTTTTTTTGAGATAGGGTCTTGCTCTGTCACCCAGGCTGGAGCACAGTAGTGTGATTAGAGCTCACTATAGCCTCAACCTCCTTGGCCCAAGCAATCCTCCCTGCTCAGCCTCCAGAGTAGCTGGGGACTACAGGCAAATAACACCACACCCAGCTAAGTTTTCTATTTTTTGTAGAGACAGGGTCTCACTATGTTGCCAGAGCTGGTCGCAAATTCCTGGGCTCAGGGGATCCTCCTGCCTCAGCCTGCCAAAGTGCTGGGATTTAGGCATGAGCCACAACACCTGGCTAACAACAAAAAAAACCTTCACATCACTTCAGTTGGCTTTATAATTCAGAAAAATTATTAATTATATTTTGCATGGAGTAACTGTCAAAACTGTTTTGGAACCCCCTAAGCTCAAATTAACTGACAGACAATGGAATCCATATGTATGTTAAATAGGAGGGAATTTAGCCTAAGATGAAAAGATACCACCTACCAGTGATCATTTGTAAGTAGACAATTAAAGGAAAACAATAGCCATGACATCATGTGGCTATATGAGCTCTGAAGTAGGACTACATGGGTTCAAATCCTAAGTCTACCAGTTATTAGTTGAACGAGCTTGGGTAGATTATTTAACTTTTCTGTGCTCAGTATCCTCATGTGTAAAACAGATAACAGTACCTACTTCAGGTTGTTTTGAGGATTCAATCAAGTTAAACCATGTATGTGTTTAAAAGAGTAACTAATTGGCCAGGTGCAATGGTTCACACCTGTAATCTCATAATTTTGGGAGGCTGAGGCAGGTAGATCACCTGCGGTCAGGAGTTCGAGACCAGCCTGACCAACACGGTGAAACCTCGCCTCTGCTAAAAAAAAAAAATTAGCCGGGCATAGTGGCACGTGTCTGCAATCCTAGCTACTAGGGAGGCTAAGGTAGAAGAATCACTTGAATCTGGGAGGCACAGGTTGCAGGGAGCCAAGATCACACAATCTGCACTGCAGCTTGGGCAATAAGAGCGAAACTCCGTCTCAAAAAACATTTTTTTAAACAACTAAAAAAAGAGTAACTAGTTCATAGCACTCAAAAACCATTACATACGGTTCTTCTAATAGCTATTTAATGATGTTTTCGGTAAGATATAAGGCCCACGTAAACACATCCTCACAATTTCATACATCTTTATTCGATTCTGTAGACTGAGCTTAGTAATCAATAAATCAGTTCTCTTTAATTGAAAAAAAAAAATATTTAGTTCACAAGTTCAAGAAGCTATGCTAGCTAACCCCCATCATTCTCTTGAACAACATAATTTTAGGGAAAATAATTAATGAGGTCACTTACCAGAGCTTAATTCATTCTAATCAAATGTGTTCTAAATTCATTTTAAACTTGACAAAAATTACCCATTTTAAGTTTAAACAGATTCCTCTTTAAATACTATTATCACTTTACCAATGAAAGGTGCTTCCTGGTCAAAAGGATTCTCTTCTCATTCCAACGACACACCCATCATCAGACTATTATGTCAAATCTAATCAGTCAATGGTTCAATTATAATTAGAATGTTTGAGCAATGACGCCCCCAAAGTCCTAGGTACGACTGGAGAAGTCTTGGGAAGGCTACATTTAATGTCTTACTCATTCTCATTCTTAATTAGCCCAAGAAAAAAAAAAACAGTGAGTCACTTGGATACAAACTCCCTGGTCATTTTTAAATCAGGTGCTTAAGACGCTATCTACCTTAAATACATCAGAGTTGCTCAGTGAGATTATTGAAGACTGCTGCTGCCTCTATGTAAGGGAATACAGTGAGAATTCAAAAACCAGAAACAAATCAAAGATCACCAGATCCCAACAAAAATAAGACTGTCCCTCATTTGCAAAACAAAATTGCCATGAAAGAACTGAGTTTAAAGACCACTTAATTTCCTGCTAAAAAAAAGTTGCCAAGACAATAAAGCCGAATTCAGTTTGTGGATGGAGCCCTATAATTCTTTACTCCAGTAGAAGACAGGAATTTCATTTGGCATTTGAGGTACAATCCATGTGTAGCACTTACCTGCAGCTTGTCCGGTCTTCGCCAGGAGAGATCCCAGCTCCAGGATGCTCTGCTCTTTGACTTGCACTGCCTCCTCATCGTTTTCCTGAATGTCACGCTTCACTGGGAGAGAAAAAAGCAAACTCTCTTAAAATTCTGACCAAAAAATGAAGACTGAAGGAAATTTCACCTTCATAAGACCCATTACAAACTCATATTTACCAAAAGACAAATTCTAGAAAGTTAAAAAAAAAAAAAAAAAAAAAACCTCTAAACCAGGGGGAACAAAAAAGGACATGCTCCATGTAAATCATTAAAAAAAAAAAAAAAAAAAAAAGAAAAAGGATTCTTCTCTTTTGATTTTAAATGTGCCTCTTCATTCTATCCACTAGAATTTTGCTTATCTACATACACTGAGTTTCTGTTGTGGTTAAAGCAAAATTAAAACAAAACAAATCCTTCGTACTTATGGTGCCACGATCCATGCTAGTCACTATGTTATGTGAAGAAATTAAACATGCCTGTCGTTTATGCCACTAACTAAAATCAAATGACTGTAAGTCAAAAGTCTTTCAATAAACTTTAGGTCTGTGAAAAACCTCAACTGATGGGTGTGTTAGGGATAAGCAGTTCTATAAAGCCATTCAAGAAAAACAACTCTATCAAAGTCCCAGTGTGATCCTGCATAGCTACACTTAGGAGAGACTGCTGTTTTTTAATGCACTGAGGTCTGTGAAAAGAACTTTGTGCTATCTGTCCTATTTTCAACAGTTTAATAACTATTTTAACATTCAAACATGGAATAGTCTCTCCAAGTTTGTAGTGATCATCACTAGTTACTACTACTCTTATAAAGCATCATGACTTGACAAAAACCAAGATTCTGATACTCCATGATGGAGTCCAGTAAAAGTAAGGTCATCAACCATCAAGCCTCAAGCTTGCTCTAACAGTGAAGTTTTCAGGGAACTCTCCCCCAGTATAATGGGCAAGCAGGAAATTTGTAATGTTTAACACAATTTCTACTTTATGAAAGCCAAAAAACTAGGCACTAGGCACAGAAAATTAAAATTCATGCTCCTCACATAAGTTCTAAGCGTACCCAGAATAAAATACATAGGGAACGGTGATTGAGATGACTCCGGTTCCGTAAAAGTAACGGACCTAAGTCAAGATCAGAACTTTTAAAATGAAACACCTTTTACTAATATAATTCATTCAAAGATACGTCTGAACCACCTCCTCTCCTTCTCTAGTATCCCCAGTGACAAAGTATCAGGATCTTGTCATTGTCCTTTCTCCGTGCAGGTCTGGAACACCAAAATTCAACACACTAAATAAGTCACATGCCAATATCTTGCAAGTCCAACATACAGGTGCATTCTCATACTACTTGTTGAGCCAATTCAAATCTTCTCAAGCTACACTAAAAAGATCCCATCACATGCGGTGAAGAGCTAGTCCATGCCCTAACTGAATCCTTTCTGAGTGAACATTAAAGTCTTCCTCTGTCATCCCAAATTTCTGTTCACACTTGAATCCCAATAGAAAGCTGCCGGAAGCGACCGGCTGGGATTCCCACTTCAGTTTTCCTGTTGTGTGCAGGTGTAGACCATCATACAGTGTTAAGAAACATTTCTTTAATTTTTCCGGCAACATACAGCCGACCCGTCGCAAAGCATTCCCTGAACTCCGCGGCTGACAACCAACTCCCTTAACTCACTTCCAATCCCTCAACAAGGACTCTGAAAAGATTAGTCACCTCCTGTAGCCGGGCGGTCCCGCTCCAACACCTCACTCTTACACTCTACACAGCGCAGATGAGCGTCTCCGCCACCTCCACAAACCAAGTGCCAATCTGAGGTGTGTGTCACCCCTGCATTTCTCACATTCTGAAAGAGACCCTCCTCTAGTGGAGCTTTCCGCCGTGGGGCTGGGCGGGGAGAGGTAGCAGCTCCCCGCGTCCCGTGGAAGGAAACTCCTAGACAAGAGCGAGCGCTCGCGCTCCCACCCGGAGCAGGCTGTGCTGATTACAACGGCGGGAAATGCCCGTCCTGAGCTGGTTTCGCCAAGGCCTTTCAATTAGAGACTCTCGGACCAGCCCATGACAACCTCGCAGTCCGGCACTGCTCCGGGTCCCAGACCAGCTCGTGCGGGCCAGAGCCGGGGACGAGGCTAGGGACGGGTGGGGGCCCAGCTCGGCCCATTCTCCCACCCCACGCTGAGCCCCTCGTGAGTCAGCAGCCGGCAAGGGAACCCGGGGGCTGCTTCAAGGCCTCCCACAAGAGTGGGACCCGGGGGGCTCCGGGGAGATCCGAGCGGCCTGCGCCCCCGGCCCGGCCCCCCTCACACACACAGTGAGTCAGCAGCACCACAGCCGACTAGCCCAGCCCCTCTCCGCTGCCACCGACCGACAGAAGCCGAGCTGGGCCGGCAGGGCCGGGGAGGCGGCGGGGCGACCTTTACCGATGGAGTGGAGGATGTCGATGGAGGCCTCCCGGTCGGTGCTGAGGAGAGACTGGGCTCTCTGGAACTCCACCACCGCCGCCGCCGCCATCTTACCGCTCTCACACCGTCCCCGGCCACGGCCGCCGACGCCGGAAACACACACCCGGAAAGCCCGCCCTCGCGTCCCTCCGCCCGTAGCTCCCGCGGCTCCGTTTCCAGAGAACCCCGGGAGTTGTAGTCTCTCCGCCGGGCGCGGGCTGAGGGGTGGGGAGGGCGGGAGTGCCTCGCAGGTGGGCTGCAAGCTCCATAGCGCCGCCTAGCGGGCGGGCGGAGAGGAAAAGAGGCGGTGCCCCGCAGGGGGAGCCCAAGGTCGGTCCCCGCCCACCCCAAAAGAGGCTTCTTGATTCTGGCCCCTCTCGCGCACCCCTGAGAGGGGTTCTTGAGGAGCGGGATAGGTGTTCAGTCACAGCTGTGTGGCTTTTTTTTTTATGCTTCCACGATTTAACCATTCATTCAGGGCGATACGTGACCTTATAAAGTGCTCGCCATGTGGCAGACAAAGAATGCCACCATTCGAAAGCGTTCCAAAAAAAAAAAAAAGAAAGCTTTCCAGTGTCTGGAGCCTGTGCGCCGCACACACGCTTTCCAGGCTTGACTCCCACAGCACGCTAGCCGGGCAGGAGGGCAGACCCGCCAGGGCCAGAGAAAACCGGCCTTCCCACGCGCGCGTTTCACCTTGGGACAGCGCTGGACGTGATGAAGTGAAACATCACCTGTGCTCCATTCACGCCGCAAACACCTCTTGGGAATCCACAGAAGACACTCAGCACCCCAGCTCAAAAAACAAAAAGAAGAAAAATTTAATTTTTCTTCCCAATATCTTCAGTCCCTTCAACTAAAGTCAGAGATATCAGTGAAGATGTCGTGTGGACTGAAAAGTGACATTCTATGAGACCTCTTAGGGTTAAACTTAAGGAAGGTGCCAAAAGGGTACAAAGACAATTCAATATAAGGAAAACCTTTCTCTAGGTGATGACAATCCGAAACTGGAAAGTCCTGTCCCATAAAGGGACCCGTAGGCTGGGCTCGGTGGCTTACGCCTGTAATCCCAGCACTTTGGAAGGCGGAGGCGGGAGGATCACTTGAGGTCGGGAGTTCGAGACCAGCCTGACCAATGGAGAAACCCCATCTCTACTAAAAATATAAAATTAACCAAGCGTGGTGTCACATGCCTGTAATCCCAGCTACTTGAGAGGCTGAGGCAGGAGAATCGCTTGAACCCAGGAGGTGAAGGTTGCAGTGAGCCGAGATCATGCCATTGCACTTCAGCCTGGGCAAAAAGAGCGAAACTCCGTCTCAAAAAAATAAAAGGACCCATAAAGGGGACTAACATTGCACACTTTCCTCTGTAAATGGATTAGGCCGTTAATATTCATCTACTTTTATTCTCCCAAAAATGTTCTGTGAAGAAGATATTTACTCCCCTCTAATATGGGAGGAAACAGGGAATTTGAGTTATTTGATGAAGCTCAAATCGTGATTGAGAGAACTGAGAGCTGCCGGTTAGGGAATGCCTTCGTAATACCTGGGTGTGTTCACATGAAAAGTAGATGACATCTCAAGTTGTTGTAAACAGGACTTATGACTTTGATGGAGAGTTGGATGAAATGTCTTCTGGCAAGGTGAGGTGGCTCACGCCTGTAACCCCAGAACTTCGGGAGGCCAAGGTGGGCAGATCACTTGAGCCCAGGAGTTCGACACCAGCCTGGGCAACACGGAGAGACCCCTGATTCTACTAAAAATACAAAAAGTACCCGGGGATGGTGGTGGTGCATCTTGTAGTCTCAGCTGCTTGGGAGGCTGAGATAGGAGGCTTTAGAAGAAATCATAGGAAGCTGGGCATGGTGGCTTACGCCTGTAATCCCAGCATTTTGGGAGGCTGAGGTGGGTGGATCACTAGGTCAGGAGATCAAGACCATCCTGGCAACATAGTGAAACCCTGTCTCTACTAAAAATACATAAAAATTAGCTGGGCATGGTGGCACACGCCTGTAGTCCCAGCTACTCCAAAGGCTGAGTCAGGAGAATTGCTTGAATCCAGGAGGTGGAGATTCCAATGAGCTGAGATCGCACCACTGCACTACAGCCTGGGCGACAGTGCAAGACTCCATCTCACAAAAAAAAAAAAAGAAGAAGAAATCATAGGAGAGGATAGAGTGCTAGCCTCACTACAAAGAGGGGGTACTATAAAAACAGTGGACACAAATCTTTTTGGCACCAGGGACCAGTTTTGTGGGAGACAGTTTTTCCACGGATGTGGGGAAAAGGGATGGTTTGGGGATAAAACTTCCACCTCAGATCATCGGGCATTAGATTTTCACAAGGAGCACACTATCTAGATCCCTGGCACGCTCAGTTCACAACAGGGTTTGCCTCCTATGAGAATCTAATGCTTCAGGTAATCCGACAAGTGGTGGAGCTCAGGCGGTAATGCTGTCTCCCCAGCTGCTCGCCTCCTGCTGTGGGGCCTGGTTCCTAAACAGACCACTGACTGGTAGCCACCCACAGCCCAGGGTTGTGGACCCTTGCTGTAAAAGACTAAGAGTGTCTGCCAGATCTTTCTCCCAAGCTAGTAACTCTTGCTGACTGTGGAAACATGAGCCCATCCCTGTGTGATCACCATGGGGAAAGTTTTGAGGTGAACTAGACGTGTCTCTTGAGGAGTTTGGCATTTGTGCACATTCATGAAGATGATCACCCACTTCTAGCCTACAGAATTCTGAATTAGGAAAGCTGGCTGGCATACTCTACAACAAGACAAGGAGAGAGGGCAGCAATGGGTAGCTTCCACTCCCTGTGTTTGACATGGCAACGTTATTATTCTTTTTTTTTTTTTTTTTTTTTTTTTTTTTTTTTTGAGACGGAGTTTCGCTCTTGTTACCCAGGCTGGAGTGCAATGGGGCGATCTCGGCTCACCGCAACCTCCACCTCCTGGGTTCAAGCAATTCTCCTGCCTCAGCCTCCTGAGTAGCTGGGATTACAGGCACACGCCACCATGCCCAGCTAATTTTTTTTGTATTTTAGTAGAGATGGGTTTCACCATGTTGACCAGGATGGTCTGGATCTCTTGACCTCGTGATCCACCCACCTTGGCCTCCCAAAGTGCTGGGATTACAGGCTTGAGCCACCGCGCCCGGCCGACATGGCAAGGTTCTTAAGGACCAAGTGGTCCTTAAGACCACTGAAAAGGTAGACCATCCGGGACCTTCTTAAAGAGACCTATTCAGTAGGGCCATATGCTAGTGTGAGGAGACCCAGTAATAAGAGGCTGGAAGTGTGGACATCAGGAGGCAGTCACTGATGGGAGTCTTGAGGTCCACAGGTAGATCCTCCAAAGAACACAAGAACATGTAAATGCTCCCAACAAGAAAGAACCAGCACCTAGGTCTCTGCCTCTGATGTCAACAGTCGTGAAGAGAAGAGACCTTGACTTCTTTTAATTCCACCTACTTCTCTGCTATCACCAAAACTTCCTCTACCTGAAGGAGACCCAGAAACAGCAGAGTGAGAGGATGGAGAATGAAAAAAGTGAAACTATAAACCAAACACAAATTTTCAACTGCCTGAGACTTAGGGGAGAAGCTTTAAGTTAGATCAGAAATTATAAGTTTTTATTTAAACTAGACTAGACTTTCAATTACTATAAATGGCATAAAAGATTTAGGGGTTGGGTGCAGTGGCTCATGCCTTTAATCTCAGCACGTTCAAAGGCCCAGGTGAGCGGATTACCTGAGGTCAGGAGTTTGAGACCCACCTGGCCAACATGATGAAATGCCATCTCTACTAAAAGTACAAAATAATCCTGTAATCCTAGCTACCCAGGAGGCTGAGACAGAAGAAGTGCTTGAACCTAGGAGGCAGAGGTTGCAGTGAGCCAAGATTACGCCACTGCACTCCAGCCTGGGTGATGGAGCGGGACTTCGCCTCAAAAAAAAAAAAAAAAAAAAACAGATTTAGGAAATTTGCCCACAGAGTCTCCAGGGGAAAGGAAGAAAAATCCAAAATCTGCCTTTGAGTAGGCTAGCCACTTAGTAGCTGATAACTTTAACATGTTTCTTAATTTGTCTGATCTTTGGTTTTCTCATCTATAGAGCAGGGAAAATAAAATCCAGCTGACCGCCTGTAATGCCAGCACTTTGAAAAGTCATCTTCATTACATAGCACTGAGACTCGATATTCCAGGGATCGCAAACTGCTGCTCAGTAGTCACCTGTCATTGATTGCATCCATAGCTTAACAATCTCCCTAATATAAGTATTACCAAAATGAAAGTCACTCAGTGAAATTCTCTTCTAAATCACTTTGCCCCTTACACCTTTTTTTTTTTTTTTTTTTTTTGTCTCAGACATGCCATATTCCTTCTCACTTCAAAGCCTTTATATTTCCCTCTCAAAAGTTTCAGCCCAAAGGTCATTTCCACAAAGAGGTCTTCTGTATCCCAATAAGTAACCCCTTATGTCTTCAGTCCAGTAACCGTCACATCACTCTATTTCCTTCCTAGCACTTAAGACAGTCTGTGATTTTATTAAATCAATTTTAAATGTTTTTAATTTTCATTTAATTTTAATTTATAAATTTTTTTTATTTATTTATTTATTTATTTATTTATTTATTTATTTATTTATTTATTTTTGAGACGGAGTTTCACTCTTGTTACCCAGGCTGGAGTGCAATGGCGCAATTCGGCTCACCGCAACCTCCGCCTCCTGGGTTCAGGCAATTCTCTTGCCTCAGCACCCAGAGCAGCTGGGATTACAGGCACGCGCCACCACGCCCAGCTAATTTATTTTATTTTTTTATTTTATTTTTTTTTTGAGACGGAGTTTCACTCTTGTTACCCAGGCTAGAGTGCAATGGCGCGATCTCGGCTCACTGCAACCTCCGCCTCCTGGGTTCAGGCAATTTTCCTGCCTCAGCCTCCTGAGTAGCTGGGATTACAGGCATGCGCCACCATGCCCAGCTAATTTTTTATATTTTTAGTAGAGACGGGGTTTCACCATGTTGACCAGGATGATCTCAATCTCTTGACCTCGTGATCCACCCGCCTCAGCCTCCCAAAGTGCTGGGATTACAGGCGTGAGCCACCGCACCCAGCCCAATTTTTTGTATTTTTAGTAGAGACGGGGTTTTACCATGTTGACCAGGATGGTCTCGATCTCTTGACCTCGTGATCCACCCGCCTCAGCCTCCCAAAGTGCTGGGATTACAGGCTTGAGCCACCGTGCCCGGCAATTTATTTTTATTTTTAAGTTGTTTAGAGACAGGCTGGGCATAGTGGCTCATGCCTATAATCCCAGCACTTTGGGAGGCCAAGGTGGGCAGATCACCTGAGGTAAGGAGTTCAAGACCAGCCTGGCCAACATGGCAAAACCCCACCTCTACTAAAAATTAAAAAATTAGCTGGTCATGATGGCAGGCGCCTGTGACCCCAGCTACTCCAGAGGCTAAGGCAGGAAAATCAGTTGAACCCAGGAGGCAGAGGGTGCAGCGAGCCAAGATGGTGTCACTCCAGCCTGGGTGACAGAACAAGACTCCATCTCAAACAAACAAACAAACAAAAAGTTTTGTGTTTTTTTTTTGAGACGGAGTTTCGCTCTTGTTGCCCAGGCTGGAGTGCAATGGTGCGATCTCGGCTCACCGCAACCTCCGCCTCCTGGGTTCAGGCAATTCTCCTGCCTCAGCCTCCTGAGTAGCTGGGATTACAGGCACGTGCCACCATGCCCAGCTAATTTTTAGTATTTTTAGTAGAGACGGGGTTTCACCATGTTGACCAGGATGGTCTCGATCTCTCGACCTCGTGATCCACCCACCTCGGCCTCCCAAAGTGCTGGGATTACAGGTTTGAGCCACCGTGCCCGGCAATTTTTTGTATTTTTAGTAGAGACGGGGTTTCACCATGTTGACCAGGATGGTCTCGATCTCTCGACCTCGTGATCCACCCGCCTCGGCCTCCCAAAGTGCTGGGATTACAGGCGTGAGCCACCGCGCCCGGATCTTGTGAAGTAAATTTTTAAAATTGTGGCAAAATGTAAATAACATCAAATTTACCATTTTAGCCATTTAAAATTATACAGTTCTGGTCAGGCCGGGCGTGGTGGCTCAAGCCTGTAATCCCAGCACTTTGGGAGGCCGAGGCAGGTGGATCACGAGGTCGAGAGATCGAGACCATCCTGGTCAACATGGTGAAACCCCGTCTCTACTAAAAATACAAAAATTAGCTGGGCATGGTGGCGTGTGCCTGTAATCCCAGCTACTCAGGAGGCTGAGGCAGGAGAATTGCCTGAACCCAGGAGGCAGAGGTTGCGGTGAGCCGAGATCGCGCCATTGCACTCCAGCCTGGGTAACAAGAGCGAAACTCCGTCTCAAAAAAAAAAAAAAAAAAAAAAGTTTTTAGAGACAGAGTCATGCTCTGTGGCCTAGGCTGGAGAGCAGTGGCATGATCAGAGCTCACTGCAGCCTTGAACTACTGGGCTCAAGTGATCCTCCTGCCTCAGCCTCCTGA